ACAGCACCACACACCTGGTATTCAGGTAAGGGGTAGGTTTATTCAGTAGACCTGCTGGGACCAGGCAAGGTTGGCATTCCACGTGGCTGGCAAAAGACCTGGGAAAGACCTGGGGAAGAGAGCTGGGAGAAAGAGCTGGGAGAGAGAACTGGGAAAGCTGGGAAAGAAAGAGCTGGGAAAGAGAGCATCTGGGCCTGGGCTAGGCCTTATCTAGGGTATGGGCGGAGAAAGGTGCGGCCACATGAAATTCAGATGTGACCTCAGAGGATGTAGATGTGACCTCTTCCAGGTGTGCCAGTTGCCTAGATAACTCAGGTACTGGGTGGAGACTTTGCTGCGAGGAAGGTGCAGTCTGCTTGCCATCCAGGAGCGGACTTTATAATATCCAGTCCCGAAGAGTGAGTGTGTCTGGTGCAGTTCTGTTGAAATCCTAACGCCCCCCCCCCCCCACCCATTTGCAGGTGTGACCTTATGTAGAAATAGATCCTATGCAGATAACAGATTCCATTAGGTCATTAGAGCATGTTTAATCCAATTTGACTGTGTCCTCACAAAAAGTAAGTTTGGATAGTGATCAGGGTGATGTAGCTGTCAACCAAGGAATACCAAACATCACAAAGTAGAAAGAGATCTGAAACAGATTCTCCCTTCAGCCCTCAGGGGAAACCTACCCTGCGGACACCTGTTCTCTTCTTGGACTTCCAGCCTTCAGAGCAGACTTCTAGCCTCCAGAATAGTTTGAACTGCAGACACCTTATTCTCTTCTCAGAATTCAGCCTCCAGAGCAGTTTAAACGATTCAGTCTGGGTGGTTTTTGTTGCTATTTGTTTTGTTTTTGGTTGGTCGAGAGGCCTGACTTCTGTGCCTGGGCGCTGTCCCTCAGCTCTTCAGCTCAAGGCTAGCGCTCTATCACTTGAGCCATAGTGCCACATCCAACTTTTTCTGCTTACGTGGTGCTGAGGAATTGAACCCAGGGCCTCACGCTTGCAAGGCAAGCACTCTACTACTGAGCCACCTTCCCAGCCATGTTACTTGTTTTCAGGAAGATCTAGGACACAATCTACTTTTGTTTTCCCAGGACACCATTCAACTGGGTTTTCCTATCATTTCAGTGCCTCTTCCTTCTTCTCCTTTTCCTCTTCCTCCTCTTTTGGCCTCAGTCCTCCCAGGTCTTATTTTTCTGGCTTCTCTTACCTACATCTTACCTTTCCATGAAATCAAATACCATCCAAATGCTGAGTACGTCCACAGTTAAGCTCCAGTCTAGCGGCCCCCTTGAGCTGCAGAATTCCATTTCATTCCATTGTCCAGTGTCTCCACTTGGATACCTATCAGACATTTTAAACTTAACACAATCCAAAGTCTTCATAGCTAATCCCAAGCGGACGCTCTACTGCTGAGCTAGGAAAACCTCTCCCCTAACCCCAGGGGTCAGTGTTGACTCCTGTCCTTCTTGGGGAATTGAACCTTCAGCCTGATACTTCCTAAGCCTTAGCTGGGTGTGGTTATGGCACAAGTAATTCTAGCACTCAGGAGGCGGAGGCAGGAGGGAAGCCAGTCTGGGTTATATCCTATCTCAAATCCTATCTCAAAAAAAAGAAAAGAAAGGAAGGGGCTGGTAAGGTGGCTCAGTGGTAGAGTGCTTGCCTAGCATGCAGGAAGCCTTGAGTTCGATTCCTCAGTACCACATACACAGAAAAAGCCAGAAGTGGGGCTGTGGCTCAAGTGGTAGCCTTGAGTAAAAAGAAGCTCAGGGACAGTGCCCAGGCCCTGGCAAAAAAAAAAAAAAGGCAGAAAACTCTAAGTATCTCTTCTGCAAAAGCCTACTCTGCTACCTCATCCCGTCCCTCCGTGTGTAAGCCAATACTGCACTGTGATTGCAGATGTCCCTTGATGGTGTAGTGGGGGCGGGTATTGATTCTAGGACCCCCCGGCAGACGAAATCATGAATGTTTGAGTCCCTAACATAAGATGGATGGTATCTGCATATAATCTACACGATTCCTCCCACACACTTTATTCTATCTGTCTGTCTATCTATCTATCTGTCTATCTATCTATCTATCTATCTATCTATCTATCTATCTATCTATCTATCTATCTATCTATCTATCTATCTATCTATCTATCTATCTATCTATATCTAATTTGGGGCCTAGTATTGAACTCAGAGCCTGGTCACTGTTTTTTAGCTTTTATACTCAAGGCTGGCATTCTACCACTTGAACCACAACTCCACATCTGGTTTTTTGCTGGTTAATTGGAGATAAGAGTCTCATGGAAGCCGGGTATCAGTGGCTCATACCCGTAATCCGAGCTACTCAAGAGGCTGAGATCTGAGGTTCACAGTTCAAAGCCAACCTGGGCAGGAAAGTTCCTGAGAGTCTTATCTCCAATAAACCACCAGAAAACTGGAAGTGGTGCTGTGGCTTAAGTGGTAGTGTGCTTGCCTTGAGCTGAAGACCTCAAGTGCCCAGGCGGAGTTCAAGCCCCATGACTGACAAAAAAAAAAAAAAGTCTCATGGACTCTCAGGCTCTCAATCCTCAGATCTCAGCCTCCGGAGTAGCTAGGATTTGTAACTATGAGCCATGGGTGTCTAGCCCTCCTAAATCCTTCAAATCATCTCTGTACTTACTTTTTAGACTTATGACAATGCAAATGCTATGTAAATAGTTGCTGTACCACCTAGTTTAGGAAATGATGAGAAAATCTGTGTATGCATGTTAAATACAATGCAGGGGGTTTTTGCAAATGTTTTCCATTCTTGGCTGGACAGCTCAATGGGTTCAGAATCCACAGATGAGGAACCCACAGACACAGAGACAGCTTGATGCCTCCTGGGTGCCTCCTTTGCTATGTTCCTGGAAGACAGGATCAACGTTAGTTAACTTAGCAGCCACAATGCCTGACACCTCACCGGACCCAAGGTTTCCAGTGGTTTGCTGAATGGGTCAGACACCTTAATCAAGTCCCAGGTAGCAGAATTAGTTTGCAACCTAAAATGCTGCCTTACTTTTGACCTTTCAAATCACTGCCCTCTAAATCGTATCAAGTTCAGTACTTCAGTTTTGCTACTCTTGAAACTTGGAGAATGGAGGTGGGAGGTCCCCCTGGGCTTCTACTGTTTCTCTTCTCCCTCTTCCCCACTCCCTAGCTCTCATCCCCACTCCCTTGGGGGCTTCAGATTTCTACCCCATTTGGCCAAGATATCCTTAACTAAAAACCCTTGTTGGATTCAAGTTCTAACTTTTAACAGGGCTATAGGGATTTGTCTAGGCCATGGCAACTCCTCAGATCTAGCAGCAATCACTTTGTTTATTGCTAATAAAGTAAAATAAAAATAATTAATAAAATTTAAGTTTAAAAATAAAAAAAATAAAGCCCTTGAAAGTCCCAGAAATTCCATAGAATGAAATACTGGAGCCGGGTGCCAGTGGCTCACACCTGTAATCCTAGCTACTCAGGAGGCTGAGATCTGAGGATCACTGTTCAAGGCCAGCCAGGGCAGGAAAGTCCGTGAAACTCTTATCTCCAATAAACCACCAGTAAACCGGAAGTGGCGCTGTAGCTCAAGCGGTAGGGCACCAGCCTTGAGCTGAAGAGCGCAGGAACAGTGGTCAGGCCAGAGTTCAAGCCCCACGACCAAAACAAAAAAACAAAAAAAAACACTGGAGTTTTAGTTATTTCTGGGTGAAATTTTTAAACTGGGGTCACATCACCTTCACTTTCCATTTAGGGGTGTATTTCTGGGCTACAGTTTGCCCAAGAGCTTGAGTTAGAAAATGCTTGAAGAGCTGGGTGCTGGTGGTTCATGCCTGTAATCCTAGCTATTCAGGTGGATGAGATCTGAGGATAAAGGTTTGAAGCCAACATGGGCAGGAAAGTCCATGAGACTCTTATCTTCCCCCAGAAAATTGGAAATAGCACTGTGGCTCAAAATGATAGTGTTTTTTGTTTTTGCCAGTCCTGGGGCTTGAACTCAGGGCCTGTACACTGTCCCTGAGCTTCTTTTGCTCAAGGCTAACATGTTACCTACCACTTGAGCCACAATACCACTTCTGCCTTTTTCTGTTTATGTGGTACTGAGGAATTGAACCCAGGGCTTCATGCATGCAAGGCAAGCAATCTACCACTAAGCCATGTTCCCAGGCCAAGAGCACTAGCTTTGAGAGATAAAGCTCAGCGATAGTGCCCAGGCCCTGAGTTCAAGCCCCATGACCGACCAAAAAAAAAGGGGCGGGGGGGAAGAAGGGCTAGTTAAATATCTCTAGACCATAGGGCCCTTAAATAAAGAGAATGGTCTTAATCTAAGTTTGTAACCCCCACCTGGGAACTTGGTATAGTACCCGGTGTAAATTCCAGAAGCTTTCATTACACATAGTCAATGCTTTAACAAAACTGAGGGCTTTCCAACCACCACAACCATGTAATGAGAAAACATGATGTATAAAAATACTGAAAGCTACCAAATAACATGCCAAGTGGGGAGACTATGACATGTTACCTAAGGTTTTGCACAAAATTTGGAGTCAAATAAATATAGGTTCAAACTCCAGCTCTAAGACTAGAAGGCTGTATGCCCACAGGCAAGTTATTTAGTCTCTGGGAGCTTCAGATTCTTCATCTGAAAAACAAAGGTAATATCTGTTTGATGGAGTTGCTGTAGAATGCAAAAATACCTACTCTAATACCTCAGGGCTGTGTTGCCATTTGCAAAACCAAGATTATTATTGGTCTTTTTTTTTTGGCCAGTTCTGGGGCTTGGACTGGGCCCTGTCCCTGAGCTTCTTTTTGCTCAAGGCTGGCACTCTACCACTTGAGCCACCCCGCCACTTCTGGTTCTTGTGTTTATGTAGTACTGAGGAATCAAACCCAGGTCTTCATGCATGTTAGGCAAGTACTCTACCACTACGCCACATTTCCAGGCTATCATTGATCTTACAGGATGCTTTCATTTGAACATTTACACTTCAATCAATCTTAAGTACAGTAGTTTTTTTTGTCAAATGTCATTTATTAGAAAATACAATTCGGAGAAAGTAGAAGATACAAAGGGTCTGGGAAGTGGGTACAGTACACAGACCTCTTTAAATTAAGGGACACAGAAGGTCAGAATCAAATGAGCTACAGGCCAAAGCCAGTAACACATCTATGGTCCAAACATCTGGGAAGGGTGCACTCTTTTCCTTCCCCTACTCTCCCAGGTCCCTCCTCTCAGCAGCCTGCTTTGTCCTTGGCATTTTTATTTTTATTTTCCAGTATGGGGAATCAAATCCAGGGCCTTGTCTATACTACTAAGCAAACACTCTACTACTTGAGCTATGTATGCTCCCATCCCTTTTGTTCTCTCATTTTTGAGCTAAGAGTCTCACTATATATTTCCCTTGGCTGGCCCAAAGCATTCCACCTTCTCCCTCCACCTACAGTCTCAGGAGTAGCTGGGGCTGGGATTACAGGCATGCACCGCCCATATTCGGCTGCCATTTTCATTTAAAAGAAAAAGTAAACTTCCTTGCTGCCCTGTGGCTTCAAGAGATAGAGCTTCTTCCTCCAGTAATGGAATGAATCAGCAAAATGGGGGAATTTCTGACCCTTGCTTGGAGGAAGCTGTTGAGGGTCTGTTTATGGCATGTCCTCTCCTCTCATTAACACCTTTCCCAAGTCGTGGGGCACATCTGGCCAAGTCAGGTTACAAAAATTATCATCAAATTCAAACTCTTCCTCCTCTTTTTTTTTTTTTTTTTTAAGGAATTCAACCCTTTGGATAGAAACGCAAAATGAATTTTAAATTCACCCGATAGGGAATACAGACTAGGAAGAGTAAAGAGTTCAGTTCTTCCCTTCCAGGGCCTGAGCTCAGCCACAGAGAAACAATCCAGGCTCCTAATCCAATCTCTCCTCCCCCGCCCCCTTCCCCACCCCCCTCCCAGATTTGGGAAGAGATTTGACAGCAAAACACTGCTGGAATCCTCCTGCTCCAGGACCCTCTCTGCTCTAGACCAGGCATCTCTTTGGCTCCAGGCTAAACTGGCTTCTGGCCCCACAGAAGGAGGGAAATTCTTAGGGGGGGGGGAACATGGGACAGGAATAGAGTTTGGGGAGAGAAAAGCAGCACAACAGAAAGCGGTGGTGGGAGATATGGAACTTTCCAGAAACTATCAGCAGGCAGTCACACTGGCATCTGTTGCCTACAGGCCCTGGGTGAAACTAAATCTAAGGGTGGGGGTTAGCATTTTGTCCCACCAGAAAAAGCTAAGGGGGGAAAACGTCCCCCAGCGTACACCCATGGACCAGAAGGCCCCACAGGGGGCTGACAGACCCCAGGGGTGAGGGGAGAAGGTATTCAGGCCAAGTCCTAACAGAGCATTAGAAAGAGGAAACACTCCTCCCCTAAAGAGCATGGGTCCCTGAATACATGTCCTTGGCAGAAGGCCCTTCCTTATATAGGTAGGTATCATGGCGCTCTCCTTTGGAGGCAAAATCAGAAGGGCCCAGTGGTAGGGGCTTCAGTCCAGTACAGGAAGCCCTTCCTGTCCCTCCCAAGCCTGCCCTAGAGAGGGAAGGATCCCCTGAGCCCCTCCCCGATAATTCCTATAGCTAGAAAACCAAAACCAAAATATCCTAGAGAAAAAGTCCATTAAGAACCTTCAATCATAGAAAACAACAAAAAGAAAAACCAAGTCCCAGTCTTCCTCGTTTGCCTTTGGAGGCATATGCATGTCCCTTCTTGCAAGGCTTCCTGTCCCACTTCGGGACAACATTACTATCTCATTTTTTAAAAATAAAAAATAAAGATATCCACCCTCCCCTCCCCCACAAAAGCTATTCCCACGCACACACACACCCCACCACCTCCCCCAATCCAGGCATTGCTCCCTTGACACAAGGTAAACTTCTTATAAAACTCGGCTGCAACACCACGGCTTCCAAGGGGCTGTGCAGCACAACCCACCCGCGCTTCAGTGTGCGGTGGGAGGGGTGATGGAGGCAGCCGGACCAGCAGCCAGGTCCACGGGGACCAACAGGGAGGCTGTGCAGGGTCCCAGCCCAGCAGGGAAGTCCTCTCCCCTAGCTCTTGGCGTTCTGGGCTGTAGCTCTGTTGGGCTCACAAGGTCCCATGACTTCGAGACCCCAAGGCAAACCAGCTGGTCTTCTCCTGGGTCAGGTCCAGCTCGCGCAGGCGAATATGCACCTCTCCCAGAAGCACATTTTCCCAGAATCCTTGCTCGCTCAGCACGCTCAGCTGGAGCTGGCGCTGCTGCAGGTCACCCTTGGGGATGCCATCATACACCAACTGCAAACAGCGGGAAGAGGGGCAAGTGGTGAGAGAGGTGGCTCCGGTGGCTCATGCTTATGATCCCACCTACTCAGGAGGCTGAGATCTGAGGACCAGGGTTTGAAAAGTCCCCCTGAGACCCGTATCTCCCATTAATCACCAGAAACCTGGGAGAGGAGCCGTGGCTCAAAGTGTGGTAGAAGCTCTAGCCTTGAGTAAAAGAGCTCCGGGGCAGTGCCCAGACCTGAAGTCAAACTCCGCCCCTTTCCTCCCCCCAAAAACATCCCCAGGGAACACAGAAAGCAGTGGGGAGGAGAGAGGTTCAAGTTCCTGGCGGTTAGAGTTGGGTGAGGCCAAGATCATTTTATCTTGCCAGCCCTGCAGAGTCCAAGGGAGTACAGAAGGCACCAGGAACCCAAGGGAGAATCCAGAGAACTTTGTTCTCTGCTCAGAGTTCAAGCAGGTAAGTGCTGGCTGTGCGTGCGAGTGTGTGTTCACTTGTACCTTTTGCTTATTAATTGGTGATGAGTCCTTTGGATTTATCTGACTGGGGCTGTCTCCACCCCATGATCCTCAGATCTTAGTCACCTGATTGGCTAGGTTTATACACAGGAGCCCCCAGAGCACCAACCAGAACAAAAGGTTTTTTTTTTTTTTTTATTGGGGCCTCTGTTCATATCCATCCCAGGACCCTAGGAGTCAGAATGCTTTTTGCTTAGATTGGAAATATAGGAATATATTCTCACACTTGCCATTGCAATGTGAAAGTAGCCACAGTGTCTAAGTTAGCAGGCGTGGAATTCTTGTATGATTTGATTGAGAAGCGCAGGCACAGGCTGGGAAGGTGGCTCAGTGGTAGAGTGCTTGCCTCACCTGCATGAGGCCCTGGGTTCCATTTGTCAGAACCACATAAATAGAAAAAGCCAGAAGTGGCAGGGTGGTTGAAGTGCTAGAGCACTAGCCTTGAGCTGAAGAGCTGAGGGACAGCGCCCAGGCCCAGAGTTCAAGCCCCACGACTGACCAAAAAAAAAAAAAAGAAGAGCAGGCACTACCGCCTTACCTCCCCCCCCCCAACCGCTGTACCCCTACACACCATCTCATTGTAGGTGGGGTTGCAGGTCTTCCGGGCCACTTTGGTTTTCCTCTTCGTGGTTTTCTGAGGGTCAGGAAGGAGATAAATCTTCACGTAGGGGTCAGGGTCATTTCCGTCCTGGAGCAGTTGCTGTAACAGAATAAAAACAAAATATAAAGATTCTTATAAAGCTGGGCACTGGTGGCTTGTGCCTGTAATCCTAACTACTCAGGAGGCTGAGATCTGAGGATCACAGTTGAAAGCCAGCCTGGGCAAGCAAGTCCGTGAGACTCTTCAATTAACCACCGGAAAACCAGAAGTGATGCTGTAGCTCAAGTGGTAGAGTGCTTGCCTTGAGTTGAAGAGCACAGGGACAGTGCCCAGGCCTAGAGTTCAAGCCCCAGGCACCCCTTGCCCCCCTCCCCCAACCACACACACAAAAGAAAAGATTCTTGTAAAAGCTGGGTACAGGTGGCTCATGTCTGTAATCTTAGCTTATTCAGGAGGCTGAGATCTGAGGATCACAGTTTAAAGCCAGCCCATGCAGGAAAGTCTTGAGACTGGAAGTGGAGCTGTGGCTCAAGTGATAGAGCACTAACCTTGAGCAAAAAAGCTCCAAAAAAAAATTTTTTAATGCCCTTCCTGGGGCTTGAATTAAGATTTTTATAGTGTCTCTTCCTTACCATTACATTTCCTTTCTCCAACATGTAGCTTCTTTTTCGTGTGTGTGTGTGTGTGTGTGTGTGTGTGTGTGTGTGTGTGTGTGTGTGTGTGTGTGTGTGTGTGTGTGTGTGTGTGTTGGGAATGGAGCTTGAGTTGAGGGCCTCACTTTCTTGCTTGGCTTTTTCTGGCTGCATCTGGCTTTTTGAAGTCCAAACAATTCATTTTTCTGTTTCCCAGCTCAGTCCATGTGGATAAAAAATATCTATCAAGATCATGAGTTACATTAGTGCTATACTTTCTATATAAATGCCCAGGACATTCCATAATGTGGTCTGTTTTGAGTGGCTCATTGTGAGAGCCCTCCTGTCCCAGACATCCTGCACTTTTGTCATTTGGTCCATTTAACCTCTAAGAGGTGGAGACAGAAATCAGAGACTAAGTTGCTTGCTCAAGGTCAGCCAACTACTGATTCATGTGGCTGATTTTTTTTTAATGTCCTGGGCCCAACCCAGGGCCTCGAACATACTACATCTGCTCTACCCATAAGCTACACCCTGGATCCCTGGCTTAATCTTTTTAAAAGCTAAGTCAGAGCTGGTAGCTATGCCAGCTTATGCCTTTAATCCTGACTACTTGGGATGCTGAAGGATCCTCAGGGATGGAGGTTCAAAACCAGCCTGGGCAAGAAAACCCATGAGAATCTTATCTCCAATAAACTAAGCCAGAAGTGGAGCTAAAGTGGCTCAGGTGGCAGAGTGCTAACTTTGAGCAAAAGAAGTTCAGGGGTAGCACCTAGACTTTGAGTTCAAGCCGCAGGACAAGCACACACACACAAAACAAAGTTAAGTCAGATCATATATCTCCCTAAAGCCTTCTAACAATTCCCATCTCATTCAGGGACTGAGCCAGAGGTCTCATTGTAGTCTGGGCTGTGTACCACCATACCCTCTCTGACCTCACCTTCTGCTGCTCCTTTGCCCTTTGCCCCTTCAGCGCCAGCCACTGGGCTTTTGTAGTCCTGACACACTGCCTGATAGAGGCAGGCTTGTATCTCCAGAGCTGTTGGGTCTAACTGCTCCCCTCCTGGGCAGACCTCTCTCAGAATACTTATAACATACATAGTTCCCTCCTCACCTCTTCCCTCTTTGCTTCTCATCACTGAGGCCTGAACACTCTAGGCAAACTCCTTTCCTCATTCTGCCCAAGATTCCTTCTTTGCTTTATTATTTCTTGCCTGGCTCCTACCACACCTTACATGTCATACAGTTCACTAGTCTACTTGTCTATCCGCCTTTTCTAACTAGAATGTAAGTTCTCTGAACACAGGATTGGTTTTATTTTCTCCCATATCCAGAGCTCAGTGCCTGGCATATAGTAGGTATGAGATGAACATGTGAGAATGAAAGAATGAACCAAAGCAAGTCTGCTCCAAAGCTCCCTGCTCTTCCCGGTCTTCAACGCCGTCACCTACACAAAATGCCAACATGGAGTGCAGCCCACGCTGAAAATACAGTAAAAGTCTCCCTCCCTTTCTATTTAGAACCTGTACCACAAATTTCCTAACCTGATTGTCCTTGAAAGACGTCAAGTGGTTGCCTTATTGCCACCATCAGGCATCTTTCACAATTACCGTAACAACAATAATCTGAAAAGTGAACTGGGTGAAGGTGACTCAGGCCTAAAATCCTAGCAACTCAGGAGGCTGAGATCTGAGGACTGTGGTTCAAAGCCAGCCTGGGCAGGAAAGTCTTCGAGACTCTGAACTCCAAGTAACTACCAAGGAGCCAGAAGTAGAGCTCAAGTGGTAGAGCACCAAAGCAAGCCAACCAAGAGCACAAAGCCCTGAGTTCAAGCCTCAGGACTGGCAATAAATAGTCAAATCGGAAAGGTAAGTGGTCTCGGGCATTGTTATCTCATTTAATCCATATAGCCACGTCAGGAGGTTGGTGCTCACATTACCTCCAGAGAGTGAGGCCAGATACCAGTGAGCCAGCAGCTGTACCTTGAATTGTTTGGTCAGCTGCCGGCCTGGCAGAAACAGGCCCATAGAGCAGGCTCAGTAAACCTTTGTGGTTATTTGCATGACAGAGGACAGAGAAGGACTGATCAGCCCAAAGCATACAATAAAGAACCCAATGAGGGCCGTGCAGCACTTACCAAGCCCCGAATGTGCATCACCATGATGAAGAGTTTATTATTTTTGTAGGAGATGGACAGCTTCACCTCCCCTCCCACCTTCCCCACAGGCCGGGCCCATGTGCCATCTGTTAGGGACAAAAGAAATGGAGAAAGGTCAACAGACCAGCCCTGCCCTGACTGGCACGTAGGAAGTGTTTGTATCCTTTCTGACCACCATCCTAACTCCTGAATGTGAGGTTCTGATCCTCACTGCAAATAGCCGTAAGTGGGGTCTGGAACTCCTGAATGTCAGGTTCTGATCCTCACTGCAAATAGCCGTAAGTGGGGTCCTGAACCAGGTTTAGAGGTGGGTCAGGATGGGTTTATCCGATCTGTGAGTACAATCACTAACAGTATATCCACCCTCTGGGGAACCCAGCCCGGGAACCTGGGGATCCATAGTCTGAGTGGGAAACCAGATTCCCCAGTAAGTAAGAAAGGGATAGGATACAAGTCAAAGAAAAGAGAACTGGGAGCAGGGTGCCAGTGGCTCACGCCTATAATCCTAGCTACTCAGGAGGCTGAGATCTGAGGATTGTGGTTCAAAGCCAGCCCAGGCAGGAAAGTCCGTGTGACTCTTATCTCCAATAAACCACTAGAAAACCAGAAGTGGCACTGTGGCTCAAGCGGTAAAGCGCTCGCCTTGAGCTGAAGAGTGCAGGGACAGCGCCCAAGCCCAGAGTTCAAGCCCCATGACCGACCAAAAAAAAAAAAAAGAACTGGGAAGAGGCCAGGGCAGGAAAGAGGAGCCTTGGATGGTTTAGCAGATGGCAGGGTCGTCTCTGGAAAGGTACCATACCTGAGCACTTAGGAGCTGGGCTGGTGCCTGCAGCCTTCTCATCCCGAGGCAGGGGGTGGAAAAAGGTATACACCAAATCACACTGGAATGGAATCAGAACATGGGGACAGTCCTCAGTAAGACACCACCCAATTTAAAACAGCTGAGCTGTGTAGTGCACACCTAGCACTTGGGAGGCAGAGGCAGGAAGATCACAAGTTCAAGGCCAGCCTGGGTTACATAGGGAGACCCTGTCTCTTAAAAAAAAGAGGTGATTTATGGAATATGATAACCAAATATAATAAATAGTTCTTATTTGGCTCAAACCAACTATAAAGACGAATTCAGGAGAAGCAAGTATATAGCTCAGTAGTAGAGTGCTTGCCCAGTGTGACAAGGTCCTGGATCTGATCTCCAAAAACCCAACTGAAGAAGAGAATTTGGGATTCTGTGGTTGTTGGTGGTGGTGGTGGTATTCTTTGTTTGGGGGATTTTTTTGTGTCCTTTTAGGGGGGGTAAAGGGAAGGCAAAGAAAGGGAGGGAAGAAGGTGAACAAATGCAGTCATTGTGTTCAGTGTACACTATGTGGAAAATGAACTATGCAATTTGTGGGCAGGGACGGGAGGGGAAAACCAGGGGAAAGTAAAAGAAAGGTTGACATTGTCCAAAAGAAAAAATGTACTCATTACCTGACCTATGAAATGGGAACCCCTTGGTACAACACCTTAATAATAACAATGAAATAATATTAAAAAAAAAAAAAAAAAAAAGCAAGAGCTGGGCACCTGTGGCTCACGCCTATAATCCTAACTATTCAGGAGGCTGAGATTTGAGAATCATGGTTCAAAGCCAGCCCAGGCAGCAAAGTCTGTGAGACTTTTTTTTTTTTGTTAGTCATGGGGCTTGAACTCAGCCTGGGCGCTGTCCCTGCGCTCTTCAGCTCAAGGCAAGCGCTCTACCACTTGAGTCACAGCACCACTTCCTGTTTTCTAGTGGTTTACTGGAGATAAGAGTCTCACAGACTTTTCTGCCCAGACTGGCTTTGAACCGCAGTCCTCAGATCTCAGCTTCCTGAGTAGCTAGGATTACAGGCGTGAGCTACTGGCACCTGGCTTCTATGAGACTCTTTTTTTTGGGGGGTCCAGTTGTGGGGCCTGAACTCTGGGCCTGGGCGCTATCCCTCAGCTCTTCAGCTCAAGGCTAGTGCTCTACCACTTGAGCCACAGCACCACTTCCGGCTGTTTTCTTTTTGCTTATGTGGTGCTGAGGAATCGAACCCAGGGCCTCAGACATGCAAGGCTAGCGCTCTACCACTGAGCCACCTTCCCAGTCCCCTATGAGACTCTTTCATCTCCACTAAACTACTAAAAAGGCTGGAAGTGGAGCTGTGGTTCAAGTGGTAGAGCACTAGCCTTAGTAAAAAGAAGCGTATAGACAGCACTCTGAGTTCAAGCCCCAGGACAGGCACAAAAAGAAAAAGAAAAAAAGAAGGGGGGGTGGGATTTGAATATGGCCTAGGTTTAAGATGATGTAATGACATGATAGTTGTGTAAGAATATGTTCTTGGCCCACTGTGGATCCAGGAACATCTGTCTTCTGCAGAGCACAGCAGACTGACCGTTTTGAGCCAAGTCTTCTGTCTGACTTCCCAGAGCTCCCTGCTTCCTCCCAACACTTGCTATGACCACCACCTTGGGAAAGAGGAGCGAGACCTGCCTGGGCCACCTCAGGGGCTGCGTGGATCAGGTGCCAGATGTAGCCGTTCAGTTCCTCCCTCCGACGCTCCGCCACAGCCTCTCCCCGAGAGCGGCCAATCACAAAGCGACTAGGGAAGCTGGAGAGGTGGGGGGAGGGGGAAGATGGGGGGCAGAGGGAAGAATGAGACCCAGTCCACACTTCATTTCCATTCCTAGGCACCTGACCCCCCATTTGCAGTTGATTCTCTACTCCATCTCTTCCCTCTCTCCAGTCTGCGCCCAGGTCTCATACTGCCCAATTCCAAGGGCAGTACCTCCACTACCAGGAAAAACTAATAGCTGGGCAATCTTCAGAAATGCCTGCATGGCTTTGAAGCTTCTGATTTTTCTTGTCAGTGTAGGTTTTCATTTATTTTATTTATTTTTGTCCATTATGGGGCTTAAACTCTGAGCCTGGGCGCTGTCCCTCAGCTCTTCAGCTCAAGGCTAGCACCTCTACCACTTGAGCCACAGCACCACTTCTGGCTTTTTGTGTTTATGTGGTGCTGAGGAATTGAACCCAGGGCCTCATGCATGCAAGGCAAGCACTCTACCACTGAGCCACCTTCCTAGCCCCTCATTTATTTTTTAAATCTTGGAAAAATGCACATGACATCAAGTTGATCATTTTAAGCATTTTTGTATGTGTACCAGTCCTGGGCCTGAACTGGGGCCTAGGTGCTGTCCCTGAGCTTTATTTATTTATTTATTTTTTGCTTAAGGCTGGTGCTCTACCACTCGAGCCCAGCTCCCCATCTCATTTTAAGCTTAGAGTTCAACATTAAGTACATTCACAATGCTGTACTGACCTTTTCATCCATTTTTTATTGCTATTATAAAGGTAATAGCCAGAGGAATTACTGTTTCATAAGTCAGGTAATGAATTTTTGTTTTTAGGGGCAATCAGACCTCTTTTTGTAATCTGAACTCCACATTCAATGACCAATAATGCCTCCACTACCTCTCTCTCTTCTGACTACTGAATCTGACTATTCTAATGTGACTCAGCTCATTTTATCTTTTGATGACTGGCCCTTCCCTTTCAATGCTCAATAATATTCCATTGGATGTATATATCACACTTTTTTTTTTACTCATTGGGAAAGTGGTTTAACTCTTTGTATAAGTTGGAAACTTTAAAACATCTTCAGATTCTGCACAGCAAGCAGGAAATCTGGCAGGAGGCAATGGGAAGAAGTTCATGGTCAAGACTAGAGCAAGACCTCTGGAGCAGTGACAACTTTGGCCAGCAGGAGGCGCACTTGTTGCCACACACCAGGCCAAGGAATGCAGGTAGACAGATCTCTGGTATAAAAGGTTTGCCACTGCAGTCCTGCCAGCCTCATCCTTCCTCCCCAGTAGCCCCAGAGAGGAAAAGGGGGAACGCTACCTGGGCAAGAGGGAAGAAGGGAAGAGCAGCCGCAGTTTATTGTGCAATTCCTGGAACTCCTCAAACGTCCGCTGGATGTAAGTAGCTTCGTGAGAGTTCTCTCGCATCACCTTAACTATGTATATCTGTAAAGATCCAAGTCTCAGGGAACACCTGACTCTGTGAGCAGAGTCAGAACCCTGAGAAGCCGAGGTGAATGGCAGAAGTGAATCAGAGATGAGAAAACACTTACATAGCCCTTGTTAGGGTGAAAGATCTTCTCGTGACGGCAGAGGAACACATCACTGATTTGCCCTGAGCTCTTGAGAGTGTGCGTTCGGGGGGCAAAGGAAAGGGTCAGCCTGTCATCGGAGCCTGTGAACTTCATCTGAGCCAGGTTATGGATGAAAAAGTTGAGCTTGGTGGCTACGCTGCCCAGGCTGGATTCAATCAACCTGTTGGGTAGAGGAGGGATGGGAGGCTCTGCCATCTAGGTGAATCCTTCCCACAACCCATCCTACTCCTCCAACCCCAGCTGGAGCTAGTGAGGGTGGGCAAGGCTGCCTTAGGCCTCCAGTTACCTAGTGAAATAGGTGGTGGCATTGGCCTCTGTGTCCTGGGGTCTCAGGGCATCATACACATACTTGAGGTCCTCCAGGTCCGAGAGCTCAGGGATTCCACAGGACAACATCTAGATGGAGAGGAAAAGAGGGAGAAGAGGCCTCTAAGGACAGGGAAGTCCTACTTCTCTTTCACCCTTTCACCCTCCTTCTAGAGGGCAGCAGACGGATGCTGTGGGCAGTGGCTGGTAACCACAGGAAGTGGAAGGAAGGCTTGAGATAAGGGGATCAGACATATTGCTCTCCCCAGGTGGGCTGGGTCCCTCTATCTAGGGTAGTCAGTTACTCAATTGGGTCTCAGAGAAGATGCTATCTGAGAACCTCTCTCCTTCCCCCCCCCCCTCTCCCCACTAGTCCTGGGGGCTTGAATTCAGGGCCTGGGCGCTATCCCTGAGCTCCTTTTGCTCAAAGCTAGTACTCTACCACTTGAGCTACAGCGCCACTTCTGGCTTTTTCTGTGTATGTGGTACTAAGGAGTGGAACCTAGGCCTTCAGGCATGCTAGGCAAGCACTCTACCACTAAGCTACATTCCCAGCCTCTCAGGATCTTTTGAAACAAGCCAGGGTAGTCTTAAGGATGGCACAGAATAAGAAGGAGGTGTTCAGAGATGGAACTCCTCACCAGGCCCAGAAGGTTGAGGAACAGGTGGGTGTGCTTGCGGATGAGGTTGTAAGCTTGGCAGCAAAGGTCAACGAAATCATGGAAGCGGCTGGAAGGCTTGTCACCCCCGTTGATGACATATGCCATGTCCGAGGTGAAGACAAACGGAGCACGGTCCCTGGGGAAACATACAGGTAGAAGGTCACCGTGGAGGAAGAAGCCCACCTGTGGGCTGCATTAAGGGGTAGTGGCCCCCATCGTTAATCATGTGTTCAAACCTGGACACATGAGGCTGTCTCTTACCCTGCTGTCTTTCACATTACAAAATCCCCAGACAGCGTGTTCCTTGGTTGCAATCTGTTTCCTTTTCCTGCAGTGTGGGTTCGCCTCCTTCCTCAGTAAGGAGAGGAACAGCCACGCACTAGTGGCTCACATCTATAATTCTAGCTACTCAGGAGGCTGAGATCTGAGGATTACGGTTCAAAGCCAGCCTGGGAAGGAAAGTCTTGTCTCCAATTAATCACCAAAAAGCTGGAAGTAGAGCTTGTGGCTCAAGTGGTAGAGTACCAGCCTTGCGTGAAAAAGCTGTAAGACAGCACCCAGGTCCTGAGGTCAGGTTCCAGAACTGGTGCACCTATGTGTGTGTGTGTGTGTGCGCGCGCGCACACACACACACACACACACAAACACACACGAGGAAAAACAGCTGGTCCCCACCTTCTGTAAGGCCCTACAAGGACTTGACCTCCTTACCAGTCCTCTCCATAGCTGTTCAGCCCAGGGACAATGCTCGGAGGCACAGTTCTATCCACCATAAGCTTTTGTCCTAGCTCTGAATCATCCCTGCTAACCTCTATCCTCCACATGTGACCAACCCATCTGGTTTCAGGATACCACTTACCTCTTGATGTTGCCAAACATCTGGGCATGACCCAGGAAACGGCCAAAATCTATGTGGAACATGTGGCCAGTGGTCTTCAGCATAATGTTGTCATTATGTCGGTCACAGATGCCCAAGACATATGTGGCCACACAACAGCCGGCACAGGAGTAGATGAAGTTCTCTACAGCCTGGGAGACGAGGAGCAGGTGGGGGGAAGAGGACACAGAGCTGTCAGAGTTGGGCACCGTGGCGCACACTTCTAATCCTAGCTACGAAGGAGGTTGACATTGAGGATTGCAGTTTGAAGCCAGCTTGGCAGAACAGTCTGTGAGACTCTTACCTTCAGTCTAAAAGGCTGGAAGTGGAGCTGTGGCTCAGTTGGGGGGTAGAGCACTAGCCTTAAACCAAAAAGTCCAAGCAAGAGCACAGCCCTGGGTTCCAGTATCAGTACAATAACAACAATAACGGGCTGGGAAGGTGGCTCAGTGGTAGAGCGCTTGCCTTGCATGCCTGAGGCCCTGGGTTCGATTCCTCAGCACCACATAAGCAAAAAGAAAAAAGCCGGAAGTTGTGCTGTGGCTCAAGTGGTAGAGCGCTAGCCTTGAGCTGAAGAGCTGAAGGACAGCGCCCAGGCCCAGAATTCAGGCCCCACAACTGGACCCAAAACAAAAAATAAAAACAAAAAAAACAACAATAACAACAACAAAAGCTGTCTGGAAGAAGCTCAGGGCCACAGTCAAGCTGAATTCAGTCAACACTGGCCTTGTTATTTCTTGTGAACCCCAACAGAACCTCACACCTGTCTGTTCATCCTTTACCCTTGTCACATACACACACACACATACATACATACACACACACACACACACACACACACACACACACACACACACACCCCTCCCACATATGCAGGAGTAAAAAGATACGGAAGGAACTGGGGCACTGAGGGCTCACACCTATTATCCTAGCTACTCAGGAGGCTGATATTTGAGAATCACATTTGGAAGCCAGCCCAGGCAGGAAAGTTCTTGAAACCCTTATCTTCCATTAACCACCTGAACAACTGGAAGCAGCACAATGGCTCAAAGTGATAGAGCACTGCCTTGAGCAAAAGAGCTCAGGGACAGCACCCAGGCCCAGAGTATAACAAAGGAAGGAAAGAAAAAAAAAAAAGAAATGGAAGGTTTATGTCTTCCCCCACCCTTCATCTGAACTTCATCTTCTCCCTTGAGACTGGTGAGAAAGAAAGTAGACAGATAGAAAAGCCCGGATGTAAACAGCCAAGACGTGGGAGACCTTGGTATACAACACGATTTGATGCTGAAAACCTTCCCAGCATGCCATCGTGACTCTGGTTCAAGCTGGCTTGAGTAGTGGATTAAGGGAGAATTCCCTGAATCTGCTTAGAATGTGTCCATCTTTCTTCCTGACCCAAATAAAACTCCTCTCCCAGATCTCGTGGTAACAGCTAAATCCTTGTCTAATTAAAGTCACTGTTCTTGGGAGAAGAGCTGAGACAGGTTCACACTTCCAGGAGGGTTTTACACTTGAAAACCTGACATCTCTACTTAGTGAAATGTGTTAGAGATATTTTTGAGTTTCAAGGAGGAGAGGGGAAGCTGGGCACAGTGGCTCACATGCAATTCCAGTACTCAGGAGGCACAGGCAAAAGGCTCATGATGTTGAGAGCAACTGGGGTACAGAGTGAGATCAAGGTCAGCCGGGGTTATATACTGAAACTTTTGGGGGGAGGGATATAACAGTGATTAAGGGTTGAATCCACTGTTTCTCTTCTTTTTCTTTTTTCTTTTGTTGGTTGTGGGGCCTGAACTCTGGGCCTGGGCACTGCCCTTCAGGTCTTCAGCCCAAGGTGAGTGCCATTTGAGCCACAGTACCACTTCCAGCTTTTTCTGCTTAGGTGGTGCTGAGGAATGGAACCCAGGGCCTCATGCATGCAAGGCAAGCACTCTACCATGAAGCCACCTTCCCAGCCCCACCCCCAGTCCTGGGGTTCGAACTTGGAGCCTGGGTACTGTTCCTGAGCCTGAGCTTCTTTTGCTCAAAGCTAGCGCTCTACCACTTGAGCCACATTCCAAGCCCCTTTCATAGAGTGTAACTTTTTTTTTTGGTGATCGGTATGGGGTTTGAACTTAGGGCCTGGGCACTGTCCCTGAGCACTCTCTTTTGCTTAAGGCTAGCTCTCTACCACTTTGAACCACAGCTCCACAGTTCAAAGCCAGTCTGGGCAGGAAAGTCCAGGAGACTCTTACCTCTGAAGCCTTGAGCTACTTCTGGCCTTTTGCTGGTTCATTGGAGGTAAGAATCTCCTGAACTTTCCTGCCCAGACTGGCTTTGAACTGTTTTTGGCCACCTACTTAACAAGGAGAGCACCCCTATCCTGTGAGTGAAACTCTTACAAATGGACACACAAAAGGAGCAAAAGAAACTTCTAGTATTTTTTCTAGTAAGAAGACTCCAAGAGGCAAGAAGCCAGCTTGAGTCTGGGCAAGACATAGTAGAGAAGTCCACAAGCTAGTGGCCCCAGAGACTGAAGCTGAGGCTAGAGGAAGGGATCTAGAAGTCCTCAGTGTATGGATGGAGGCAGAAGGAATAGGGGATGAGCTAGCCCAAGAAGAATGAAAAAGAGCACAGCAGGCCAGGGACTAAACCCTGGGGAATGCAAATACTTAGGGCCATTTAAGATCATCTAATTACACACATTCCTTGAACAACATTCTGGTTATAATTTGGCTGCGTGTGATTTCCCTCAGGATATTAAATGCATTAATCAATACATTTAGATCTTCTTGAAGTGACACATATAAATTAGCATTCTGACATTCTTTTTTTTTTTTTTTTTTCTGGTCAGTCATGGGGCTTGAACTCTGGGCCTGGGTGCTGTCCCTCAGCACTTCAGCTCAAGGCTAGTGCTCTACCGCTTGAGCTACAGCACCACTTCCAGTTTTCTGAGTGGTTTATTGGAGATAAGTCTCATGGACTTTCCTGCCCAGGGGCTTTGAACCCGTGATCCTCAGATCTCAGCCTCCTCAGATCTCAGCCTCCGGAGTAGCTAGGATTAAAGGTGTGAGCCACCAGGGCTCGGCCATAGGGACATTCTTATTGTGTCTTGTCCCCTCCCTATCTCATTAACCCAGAATCTAGGGTCACAAACCTATGAAAAGGCACCGAGACTTACCACTCAGGAGAGCTCCACTCAAAATCTAATCTCTTCTCTCACCAGGCCTCTTTCATCTCCCTCTTATATATAACCTCTACCCTGACTTTGAGTGTGACCCCAGGCACAAGTGTGAGCATGAATTACTCCCACAAAAAGAAAGGACTGGATTATAAAGGTCTCTAGCCAGGTTCAGGTAGCTCACATCTGTAAATCCTAGCTACTCAGGAGGCTGAGATCTGAGGACTGAGGTTCAAAACCAGTTCTGGCAGACATATCTGAGAGATTGAGATCTCCAATGAATCACCAAAAAGCTGCAAGTGGGAAGTGTGGCTTGAGTGGCAGAGCGCCAGCCTTAAGCAGAAAAGCCAAGTAAAAGTGCAAAGCCCTGAGTTCAAGCCCCAGTACCAGCAGATGTGTGTATAACAAAAGAAGCTAGATCAAAGGATCTCTGAACAGTCTCTACCAATCATCTCGATTCTGTAAGGCACCACAGGATTGCTCTGAGAGTTCCAGAAGAACCAATCGGAAGCTGCAATGGGGAAATTTTGCTAGGCCAGGCCCCTCCCCCAAGATTCCCTCTACCAGGTATTAACAGTAACTCAAAGTCTTCAAGTCTGACACACCAGCTTACAACAGTCAGTTCACCCAGCCTGAGATACACACAGTCCCCCAAGAGAGGTTATCCATCACCCCAGCAAAGCTGAGTGGTCTGGAGGTAACAGAGTCGTGCTTCAGCATCAGGCTCAGTCTGAGCAGCTCTGGGCCTCTCCAAGTCTATCGATCCAGCCGAATCCCACCAATCCTACCTTCTCATACTCATCCTCCCCGGGGTTGTGCTTCTGCAGCCAGTCGGCCAGGGGCCGGTCCTTGAAGGAGCCTGTCACTCCATGCTCCACCTGGATCTTGCGCAGGGTCTCAGCATTGGGGATCATCTCTACCATCCCTGTGAGAGAGAGGTCAGGGTCACACTCTGGAGAGGAGAGAAAGGGGTTGTGGGGAGAAGCCTGCAGGAGTTGGGCAGGGTACTTGCTGGCCAGCAAGCTAAGCTCTGGAGCTTTTGAACCAAATCTGTGAAATGAGGGAAAACCTGCTGGCCACCTCCATATCTCCCACACTACGTTGACTCCTGGTTCTCCCCAGTTCATAGCCACTGCTATCCTTTTGGCTTTTGACTCTGACTAATCTTCAAACATGTACAGGAATGGGGGGGGAACAAAAGATTGTGTTAGTTTACTTGTTTTTTTTTTGTTCGTTTGTTTTGTCCTGTTGTGGGGTCTGAACTCTGGGCCTGGGCGCTGTCCCTCAGCTCTTCAGCTCAAGGCTAGCGCTCTACCACTTGAGCCACAATGCCACTTCCAGACTTTTTCTTTTTGCTTATGTGGTGCTGAGGAATCGAACCCAGGGCCTCACGCATGCAAGGCAAGCGCTCTACTACTGAGCCACCTTCCCAGCCCTGTGTTAGTTTACTTGTAACTGTCACCCATCCTTCAAAAAAGGATCCACATTTGCTGATCATGTTCTAGCTTTTCATATGCCCCTTCCCAGTTCCCACTTCCTGACACCCCACTGGAGCACTGGGAAGCCGGTCCAGGTGTGTCATTTCATTCATAAATATGTCACATGTCCACAAGCACATGACCACTAGGTCACGGTCACAACCCCAAATCTAACCATCCCTCTTTGATCAAACCTAGTCTACATCCACATTCTTCCAGTCATCTCAAAAACAACTTCACAGTTGGCTTGCCTGGATCAGGATCCAGTCTCTACAAGTCAGTTGGTTCTGGAAGTGTCTTCCTCTCCTCCTTTTTTTTTTTTTTTTTTGCCAGTTGTAGGGCTGGAACTCTGGGCCTGGGCGCTGTCCTTCAGCTCTTTAGCTCAAGGCCAGCGCTCTACCACTTGAGCCACAGCGCCACTTCCAGTTTTCTGGTGGTTCATTGGAGATGAGTCTCATGGAGGGCTGGGAAGGTGGCTCAGTGGTAGAGCACTTGCCTTGCATGCATGAGGCCCTGGGTTCGATTCCTCAGCACCACATAAGCAAAAAGAAAAAAGCCGGAAGTGGCGCTGTGGCTCAAGTGGTAGAGCACTAGCCTTGAGCTGAAGAGCTGAGGGACAGCGCCCAGGCCCAGAGTTCAGGCTCCAGGACTGGACTCAAAATAAAAATTAAAAAAAAGAGTCTCATGGACTTTGCTTGCCCGGGCTGGCTTTGAACCGCAATCCTCAGAGCTCAGCCTCCTGAGTAGCTAGAATTGCAGGCGTGAGCCACTGGCGCCTAGCTCTTCTGCTTTTTGTTCCCAAGCCACTTCAGAACTTCAATTGGAATTGGAACTTCAATTGCCCTTTCCCCTCTCACCCCCAGCTCATGTTGTGGAATGGGCGGAAGGGCAGTAAGCAAAGGGGGTGCCCCCCACCCACACTCCAAACTGACCTCTCCCCCGGCCAGTGGAGAAGCAACGGAAGATGACCATGCGCATATCCAGCCCCTCCTGGACCCAGATCTTGTTCATGATTCGAATCATTTGCAGAGTGAGCATGTCCTGGCGAAGGTCGTCCCCGCACTGCGTGGAGGAAGAGAGCAACCAAGACTAGTCCCTACCGCCTCCCAGGCTCCCAGCTCCCACAGCTCCCGAGCCTGAACCACAGCGACAGCCCTGCACCTCTGCTCACACCGGGTCAAAGACTAGAGACATCAACCTGCTTATAGTTAGTTTATCCCCACAGTGTCGTGCCTGCTCTTCCTGCCCCCCCCCCTTTTTTTGTAGTATTGGGATTTGAACTCAGAGCTTGTCACTTGCTACGCAGGTGTTCTTCTACTGCTTGAGCCATACCCTAGTCCTTGTTATTCTAGTTTTTTTTGGGGGGGGGGGTCCAGTTGTGGGGCCTGAACTCTGGGCCTGGGCGCTGTCCCTCAGCTCTTCAGCTCAAGGCTAGCACTCTACCACTTGAGCCACAGCGCCACTTCTGGCTTTTTTCTTTTTGCTTATATGGTGCTGAGGAATCGAACCCAGGGCCTCATGCATGCAAGGCAAGCGCTCTACCACTGAGCCACCTTCCCAGCCCCTCTAGTTATTTTAAAGATAGGGTTTTATCTTCTACCAAGGCCAGTCTGGACCTTGACCCTCCTATTTATACTTCCCAACATAGATGTCCTTAGCTCTCTCTTGTCATGCACAATTCCTTTGAACCCTTTTGTGCTCTATTAAAGAGGGCAGCAGATTGGGGCACTGGTGGCTCCTATCAGTAATCCTACCTCACACCCATAATCCTAGCTATTCAGGCTGAGATCTGAAGGGTCAAGTTTGAAGCCAGCACGGACAGAAAAGCCTGTGAGACTCTATCTCATTAACCAGACAAATGCTGTGGCTCAAGTGGTAGAACACCATGAACGAGGAAGCTCAAGCAAGAGCAGAAGACCTGAGTTCAAGTCCCAGTACACATACAGATACACACACACACACACATGCACGCATGCACGCACGCACGCATGCATACATGCACGCAGGGCAGCAGCATGCTGGGCACAGGGGCTGAAGCCTGTAAAATCCTAGCTATTTGGGAGACAGATATCAAGAAGGATCATGGTTTGAGAGGTCAGCCTGGGCAAAAAGAAGTTGCTGAGACCCCATTTCCACCAATGGCTGGGCGTGGTGGCTGGTACCTATTATCTTAGCTATTGCGGGGGGGAGGGGGGGACACAAATAGGAGGATCACAGCTCAAGCTTGCTTGGGCATAAATAAGACCCTATCTTGAAAATCACCGATGCCAACAGTATGGTGTGGCTCATATAGTAGAGCACCTGCCTAGCAAGTATGAGACTTAAACCTTAGTATGGACAAAACCAAGAGAAGAGGCAGACTTCGGGGTAGGTGGGAGGGGGTGACTTAGTGGTCTAATGTGTGCGTGGTATGTTCAAGGCCCTGAGTTTGATCCCCAGCACCACAAAAAAGGCAGCAGGGAATAGGGGGAGAACAGTTTTCTGAGGCTACCTGTGCCACCTGCATTCCTCCCACGCTCTCTCCACCTTCACCCCAGAAGACCTGAGGGGGCTCTTTTACCTTGAAGATGACCCGGATGTGCTCACCCAGCGGATCCACGTTCTGGAAGGCGAGCTTGAGGGGGACTGCGTTGGAGTTGAAGTAGGAACAGTCCTGCACCGGGGATGGGGCAGTGAGCCGGGGTCAGGCTGCCCGTGCCCGGGAAGGAAATCACCTCTCCATGCTGGACCACATGCCACCCCCTCCTGTTGCCCGTCCATCTGAGCCCTGCTCACTGTTAGTGCCTCATTTCTCAGGGCACAAATTCCTTCTCCCTCTCTTTAGTGCTGTCATCTGGGTTCATGAAGTGTCACCACTTCAGCCCCGGGACCTGACCTCTCATCCCTTCCTTCCTTCCCTCTATCCTGCACATCCTCATTACCCTCATGCCTTCTCCTAAGTCCCATCTCCCGGCGGGTTACTCCTCTGTAAAACAGGGTTCAGACAGGACCAACCTGGACAGCTGCCACCACTGTCACTGACTTCCTCCCAGCCTCCCCTGACCCCGCCCCTCACTTCCTCTCAACTCCATGCACAGTCTTCACATATGAGGGTTAGGAAGGGACTAACAGATCATCTTCCTTCCTCCTTGCCCTCAACAACCAGGGCAGTGAGGCCTTACCACTCTACCAGCCCCACACCCAGCAGCCACTCACCCTGGGTACGATGCCCTTCACCAGCAGACTGGGGCTGAGTGGCAAGCGACAGGAGCCATTGAGGACAAAAAACTGTTTCACCTCCTCCAGGCCCGTGCGGAGGATGCCCTGCCAGGGAGGGAGGGACAGAAGAGGGGGAGGGCGTGAGGGGGCTCCCAGGCTCCACCACAACCAGGCCATTCCCAGAAGTGGGTGCCTAATGATGCACTGAGAAGCCTGACACACTCCAGGATACCCTTAGGAAGGAAAACTGCTGTCCGTCCCAGGCTGGCCCAGTGCAGGAGCACCACGTTCCGATACCCCCCCGGGGGGGGGGGGGGAGGTTTAGAACAGCAGGAAACAGGCCCAGAATGTCTCATGGGGAAGTCCTGCTCAGGCTTTGCTAAGAAAAGCTAATGAGCTGGGCACCTGTGGCTCATGCCTGTAATCCTAGCTATTCAAGGGCTGACATCTGAGGATTGAGGTTCAAAGCCAGCCTGTGAGACTTCTTATCTCTAATTAACCATCACAATTGGTCACCAAAAAAGCCAGAAGTGCAGCTGTGGCTCAAGTGGTATAGCATCACCTTGGTCAAAAAAAGCTAATGAGCTGTAATCCTAGCTACTCAGGAGGCTGAGATCTGAAGATCATGGTTCAAAGCCAACCCAGGCAGGAAAGTCTGTGGGACTTTTATCTCCAATAAACCACTAGAAAACTGGAAGTGGCATTGTCGCTCAAGTGGTAGAGCGCACGTCTTGAGCTGAAGAGCGCAGGGATAGCACCCAAGCCCAGAGTTCAAGCCCCATGACCGACCAAAAAAAAAAAAAACTAAAAAAAAAAACTAATAAGGGCTGGGAATGCGGCTTAGTGGTAGAGCGCTTGCCTTGCATGCATGAGGCCCTGGGTTCCATTCCTCAGCACCACATAAGCAGAAAAAAGCCAGAAGTGGCACTGTGGCTCAAGTAGTAGGGTGCTAGCCTTGAGCTGAAGAGCTAAGGGACAGCACCCAGGCCCAGAGTTCAGCCCCACGACCAACAACAAAAAAGCTAATGAACAGTACTTAGGCTCTGAGTTCAAGCCCCAGGATAGGCCAAAAAGAAAAAAGAAAAAAAAAAAAAGGAGAAAGAAAAAAAAAAAAAAGCTAATGATGTTTGGTTTTCCCCCTACCTTTTGAAACAGGTTTCAGCACAGGCTGAAACTCTCAATCTTCCTGTGTCACCTTTCCAAGTATTGAGATTACAGATTCATACTACCCTATCTAGCTAGGATCTAGACTCTAATATAAAAATCTCTTAGCCAGGCTCTGGTGGCTCCCACCTGTAATCCTAGCTACTCAGGAGGCTGAGATCCATCTAAGGACCATGGTTCAAAGCCAGCCTGGGCAGGAAAGTCTATGAGACTCATATCTCAAATAAACTATCAGAAAACCAGATATGGCACTGTGGCTCAAGTGGTAGAGCGCTAGCCTTGAGCTGAAGAGTTGAGGGACAGAGCCCAGGCCAGGAATTCAAGTCCCACAACTGACAAATAAATAAATAAAATCTCCCAACCAGGAACACTGCTGGCCTAATACAATGTCTTTGGACAAATAGAAAAAGTTGCCTCTGAGCCTGGCTCACTGTCAAAGAAACACAATATGACCGGATTTCAGCCCTTACTTGCTCTTCTCGCTGGGGGCTCTTGTGCAAAAGACAGCTTACTCAACTGTGCTTAGTCTTGAAGACCAATAGCTAAATAGAGATGCTCAGTATTTTGCAAACCAAACCAAACACAGTGATCATGTCCCACCCTTCTGCTCAAGAGACCTGAGAAGTAAACTACTGATGTATATTAGCCCGGATGTGTATTACTGATGTGTATTAGGCAAGAAATAGAGGCAGCCTTGCCCCATTCACCTGACGTGCAGAAGGGGTGGCCTCGCGGACCTGCTGGGCCAGTTTAGCCAGAGAGTTGACAAGCCAGCACTGGCGATTAAACTCCTCCCTCAGCCCTTTGCCACAGCAACACAGCAGGGCTGCCAGCAGGTACTGGTAGCGGATGCTGAACTGAGAGTCCTTCAGGCCATCCTTCAGCAACCTGCAAGGCATGAGAAGGGAGTCAGGCCACTCAGGGACCACAGGGGGTTAGAGGAGAAGAAGGGGCTGCATCGTGGCCATCTCACCAGAAAAGCCACCCCCACCTGGGAAGGAAGAAAATGTGCTCCGAATGCAGTGCTCACCTGTGTCCATCCTGTCCCCAGCTTAGAGCTGAAAGCCCCTCTACAGCTCATGAACAGGGTGAACAGACGGACAGAGATGAGGCCCGCTGAGTGAGCTACACGGGCTGAACTGAGACCCTGAAGGAAAGATGCTGGCTAGGCCAAGGTCACGTGGTAGATCAGCAACATCCTGGGCAAAGCCCAGACTGCTAGGCTCCACCCCCTCGCCCCCCCACTGCCCATGCCTGAGGGAGAAAGACTCCTGGACAAGGGACACTCGGCTGCCTCCCACTTTCTGCATATGGACTTTACCAGAAGAAGTAGTGGGTCACTCTCAGGTCGGAGACGGCTCGCTTCAGGAGGAAGCGTACCAGGGGGCTGTCCAGGTAGCACTCATACTTAAGTGCCTGTTCAGGAGAAGGCAAACATGAAACTCTATTAACGGCCTGAAATCTACACCCACTACTATCTGCCTAGGCCCTTAGGCTCCTAAGAGTCAGGTGCAGAATAACTTGGGACTAGAGGATGCGATAAGCAGAATTGAGGGGAAGGGGCTGGGCACCGGCTCACGCCTGTAATCCTAGGCTATTCAGGAGGCTGAGGTCTGAGGATCGAGGATCGAAGTTACCAGCCTGGACAGTAAAGTCCATGAGACTCTCATCTCCAATTAATCACCAAAAAGCTGAAAGTGGAGCTGCAGCTCAAGTGGTAGAGTGCTGGCCTTGAGTAAAAAGGCTAAGGAACAGACTAAGGTCCTGAGTTCAAGCCCTAGTACCAACACACACACACACACACACACACACACACACACACACACACGGAAGAAAGGTCCAGCCACTCACCTGCACCAGCTGGGGCAAGTAGTCAAGCAGCTCGGCATCCGAGAGTGAGCCAATCCACTGCACAGCCATCCGCCGCACCTCCTGGTCTGGGAAGCTGGCAAGACAGAGCCCAGGACCTTGACAACCCAGCCGTGAGCACTAAGCACAGCTGTGAGCCAAGTCCCTTCACACCTGAGCTTCAGAGCATGGCGGGGAAAGACAGCATCCAAGCCAGTGGAAGAGTCAGTCATTTCTGGGGACTGCAACTCTGGACAAGCAGCTTCCTCTAGAAACAAGCCTACTTTGGCTAAAACTGGCTAGGCAAATAACAGAGCATCACTGGAATTTTATAGATATCTGACAGGCTTAGTTTTAGGGAGACTAGAAAAAAATGTTGCCTCAAAAGTCCTGAAGGGGTCAAGTGCCAGCAGCTCATACCTGTAATCCTAGCTACTCAGAAGGCTGAGATCTGAGGATTGTGGTTCAAAGCCAGGCTGGGCAAGAAAATCCCTAATACTTTTATCTCCAGTTAGCCACTGAAAAGCTAGAAGTGGAGCTGTGGTTCAAGTGGTAGAGTGCCAGCCTTGAGCAAAAAAATCTAAGGGACAGTGGCCAGATCCTGAGTTCAAGCCTGAGTACCCCCCACCACACACACACACAGAGGGAGTTGTGAATTTGATCAAAGTACATTCTAAGCATGTATGGAAATGTCACAATGAAACCCATTTTTACAATTAATATATGCTAATAAAGAAGAAAAAACTAGCAAGGTGCGGGTGGCTCACGCCTATAATCCTAGATACTCAGGAGGCTGAGATCTGAAGATCTGCCTGGGCAGAAAAGTCCCTGTGGGACTCTTATCTCCAATTATTCACTCAAAAACTGGAAATTAAGCAGTGGCTCAAGTGGTAGAGCACTAGCCTTGAGCACAAAGAGGCGCAGGGATGGCACCTAGGCCCTGAGTTCAAGTCCCACAAGGACAAAAAAAATAAAAATAGAAAAACTTGTATTGCTTGAGAGGAATGGAAAAACATGCAATTAACGATAAGGCAAATAGGAACGGCAGAACCTGGGTAGTAGGTATATAGGGGCTCACTGTGTAGTTTCCAATTTTGTTTTACATTTGGAAAACATCTAGAACATCGCAGGGAAACAAGATGAAGACAAAGCAAAAGACAGAAACCAACGGGCCCTGAATATCCATGCCTACTTGAGCATCTTCCCCAGAGTTGCCTGGTCAGTGGTAGGGAGGATGGGTGGGTGCTACAACTCACGTGGCATGCAGGAGTCCAAGGGCATCCTGGTGGTTCATGTGTGACCACTGCTTCAGGAGGGCATAGATGTCGGGCAGGCAAGCCCACTCCCAGCTGGGGGCACTGGCGAGCACCAGAGGGAGCGAGCTCACCTCCGAATGGCAGTAATATCGCTTCTCCCACAGACGCTTCTTGTCAGCATCAGTGAGCCTGGCGGGAGGAGGAACGTGGACAGAGTCAGCCAGAAGGTGGAGAACTCACACTTCACACAACAGTGCACACTGCCATTTGATGGCCCCTCAATTTCCCTGCATATTATAATCACCTAAGGGCCTGGTGGGCAGCCCAGGTCACCAATGGAGTCAGAATGTCTGAGGAAGCCACCCGTCGGGTATTTTTCAAAGACCACCAGGAGATGGGAAGCAAAGCTTGGGGAGTAAGGTCTATATATCACCTTTGATCCTGACTCAGGGACATCTCTGACCCAGGCAGAACCCAGGCATGAGCCAAGGGCATCAGATTTACCACCACGAGGGCTTGTCCTGCGGGCTCTACTCCCAAGTACAGCCACCAGAGGGCAGCACCTGTCAGGGTCTAAGCCTCTTGGGGCTGCCAGAGGCCAGCTGCTGGTTTTATAGGGACTGTGGCTAATTGGAATTTGCCTGAGATCAGGTGTCTAATGGGCAAATGAAGCCCAGGCTAATGAAGTAAAGGGTTGGGGCAGAAGGATAGGGGCAGGAGAGGTCTGTAGTCATTCAGCTACTCTGGCACCCTGGGCAGACATGGATGAGTTATCTCCCTTGATCTCCATGTGCACAGGGACCAAGAAGGAACAGAGAGATGGATGGGGAGGGCAGGCAGGGGAGGAGCCCCAACCCCATCAGCTCCCCCAGCTCCTTCTTCTCTGATCCTGGTGAACACAGCAGCCCCAGGGATGAGATCAGCCTGGACTCATTTACCCCTGAGAGTTGCCAGCTTGCCATGACACCTGATCCTTTTTGGAAAGTGACAAGGCCAGAAAAATGCAAAGGCTTGTTGGTGTAAAAGGGGCAGGAGGTGGGGGAAGGGAGGTGAGGGCTGCAGCCAGCTGTCCCAACAGACAGCAAGTGGTGGACCGTAGATCTAGGGTGGAAATGAAGCTTTGTTCCTCTGATAACTAAATCTAGGCATTCTCAGATCTCATTTCCTGAGTCCTTTCCCTCTACTTTTCCCCATGTTGGCTTATGGAGAACGGTCTGGTGGGGCTGCCACTGTGTCCTGCCTAGAAGGCAAGGCCTACCCCACATCTGCACTCCAGTGCAGAAGGGTGGGGACTGGGAGGTGGGGCAGAGTCAGAATGCACATAACAGGCTTGGGGGGGGGGGGGGGGGCGAGGCAGAGGGTGCCCGGGGCCTCACCAGTACAGGGACTCCTTCTGCATGATGTCTTTAAGCTTGCGCTGGTCTTCTTCCTGGAGGCTGCCGAACTCATAGCGGGGGCTGAACTTGTCTCCAGAAGGGCTGGTGAATTTGATGTCAAAGGCTGAGGTGGGGAAGTCAATCTTGGGAGGGGGTCAGAGAAGGGAGGGGAGTGAGGAGGCAGAGTGAGTGAAGGTGGCCACTTCCTTGGTCCCAGCTTTGTAAAACAACCCAGCTAGACTTAGCGACTCCCAAGACCCCCATCAGCTGTAACGTGCAGCAAAACTTACAAGGAAATAGAGGGATGAAATGGGAAAGGAAGGAAGAGGCGAGGTTGGGATGTTCCTCCTGAGGGGAGCCCTCAGTTGGGTCTGGAAGCCTGTCAGCTACCAGGCGCTTGGACCTCACACTGGGCACTGGCTACACTGGGGCCTGTGACACACGGGCCTTTACTTGGTACCACTGCTGCTCTTTCTCTTAAAGTAGAAGTCAGCTGAGTGAACCAATTCTCCCAAGAAGTTCTGCTTTGCTTCATTCAACAAGTGTTTACTGAACACTAATAGGTGCACTATTTAAACCATAGGCATAGAGTAATGAATAGAACACAGAACTACACGCCTTTATAGTGTGCATTCTGGACTTTTATGTCTTATTTTGTCTAAGCTTTGACATTCCCCCATTCCATACCAAAGCATCTCCTGATCACAAGAAAGGGGAGCTGGGAGCTAGGAACTAGATCAGGATTTAATCTGCTCTCCCTGCCCTCCAAAGGCACCCTAGCCCACCCTGTTGGAACCCCATGTGACTGATGAGAAAGGCTCTTCCCTCAGGGTCTCCCCTGAGGCAGCTCAGAGCTGACTGGACTTATGAGAGTTGAAAACAAGGGACATTGAGAGGCTAAGCTCTGGGCAGGGAAGGCCTCAGACCCCACCTTCGGTCTCTGGTAGCAAAGTTAACCTCTAGGAAATGGGAGATAGATACCACAAAACCCACCCTTCCTTTCGCTCTGGGTTCACCAATCACTTCGGTCATATCACCATCCTATGCCCACACTTCCCGTCCTTTCTACCGCTCCAACCCACCGCTCACAGCGGGGATATTTGGAGCTGGCTTGGGTTTGCTCTCACCTGCAGGATGACACTGTCTGGCTGGTGGAAATTAGGAGCACTCCATCGGGCCCTGGGGTTTTCTTGTGTGGCTGGCCATAAGCCTAGGAGCTTCCGGCCACAGGTCAGGACTCTGAGGCAGGAGAGTGAGATGAGCCAAGAGACCCACTGGCGGAGCTCTCCCAACCCCAGCCTGCCTCGGAGGACGCCATCCAGCGTCTTTCATTCTCCCGGTGGACCATGGCCTCTACCTTCTTTTAAATTCTAGACAAAGCGTCCCACAGCAGAAGGCCTCTCTGAGCTCGCCATTCCCTGGACAGGACAACCCGGTGGCAAGGGGTGTCCTCGGGAAGTGGAGGCTGGCAGAGATGACATTTAAGCTCCTTCCGGTAACAAGGCCAGATGACATGTTGCCAGACATTGCCTTCCCGGGTCCCGACACCTATCAGTCCTGTCACTAGTCTTGCCCACTCACTCTTGGTTACATCCAGATCACTGGGTTCCGTGCATTGGCCTTTCTACCATGGCTGGACCCTCTAGACTTCCACCAAGGAGTCCGTGTGGCCAACCATCCACACCAACAAAAAGACCCCCCCCCCCCACTTTCTCCATGCCCCTCCCCTGCCCCTTCTCCAAAGCCAGGATGTTTCCTCGGGCTCACATACTGCCTGAAGTTGAAGAGTGGCGTTGTGACCCAGCCCAGGGCTTCGGGCACCCTCCGCTGCTTATTGGCCTCGGAGGAGCTCCCGGGGGGAGGGATGGGCAGAGCGTAGAGAGTGGCACACAGAAGCGTCTCCCGGGGCAGCCGGTTCACCTGCACGGGGAAGCAGATCCTAGGGGGGGACAGGAGACCGTATCAAGAGACTTTGGGGGGCAGGAGGGGGGAGGGAAGGCAGGGCAGGAAGTCAAATGGAGGCAGAGAATTCTATCTCCCTCTGGAAGGGGGACGGGGGTTAGATGTGTTCCCTGGGGAGGCCTTGCTGGAGAACCAGGACAAGTCTCAAACCAAGCAAGACCTCCACTGAGGGGCGTGGGGGAGAACTCCTAGGAGTACCTTGTCCTTGAGGGCCCTCAGGAGAGAGGGGACAAACATCACCTGATTTCCAGGCTATCCCTGGGGTCCTAAAAAGTCCCTTCACCAGAGGGCCATTGCTGTTCCACCTGAGAGACATCCTCGTTGGTCCTCCTTTTCTGTCCCCCTCCCATCCCTCCTTGCCCAGAGCCACCAGTTCACCTAGCTTCCCCTCCCCCATAGCCCTCCTACCTGTCCACATCCCTTCTCCCAGCAGGATACGACGACTTGTTCTCACCCCCCCCCCCAAACTCAATGCCAAAGGGATAAAGAGAAGAAGCTTCCCAAGGCCCCCCAAGTGGGAAGCAGGGCCAAGAGAACAGCAACGTCAAGTGACCACTCCCCAGATCCAGCTGTTCCCCCAGAGCTGCCCGGCCAGCACCACACCCAGCCCCTCCTCCCCAGCTCAGGGTGGGAAGCTGTGGGTGGGGGAGCGGGGCAGGGAGGAAGCACCCACTTTACCTTTCTGGGAAGCTGTCCCAGGGTCAAAGTCCAACATGACCACACCCTCTGGGCCAGCCCAGGGCCCAGAAGCTTCTATGCCCAGAGGGCACAAAGGCATAGAAGCAGGATGGCTACCCCCAAGCTCAGCAGTTTTAGATAAAGCAGCCCCTCATGCCTGGGGGCAGGAAATCTCCACTTCGGTGTGGCATTCACTTGTGCCTGCCACGGACTGGCACGGCCCTGCTCAGTCCCAGCTGCTGCTACCCTAGGGGGCCCACAGCTATAATTAGGGCCCCTCCAGCCACCGGGAGGACATGCCAGGCTGGGCTTGGCTGGCGGTGACAGAGCTCAACGCTGGACCTATTTTGAGAGTGAACTGATCCTGGTACTGCTGCAGTGGGAGAATCAGCTGACCCCACAGCCCCGGGCGAGGAAGCTGGTTCTGAGCCCCTGCTTTTCACCCATGAAGCAGCATCCAGCACGGGAGCTGAAGGAAAAGAGGAACTTTCTAACTGAAATCGGAACACCTGAGAAGCCAACAGAGTCCCCTACTCCCAGACTTTCGGTAGACCTGTGCTTCTAAACCTTTCCTCCCTGTGGCCAGGTGCTAGTGGCTCACACTTGTAACATTAGCTACTCAGGAGGCTAAAATCCTGAGGACTGTGGTTCAAACACAGCCTGGGCAGAAACAATGGTAAGATGCTTACCTATAATTAACTAGCAAAGAGCTACAAGCGGAGGGAGACATGGCTCAAGTGGCGGAGTGCCTGCCTGGAAAAAGCTAAAGTAGAACATCCTGGTCCTGAAATTAAGCTCCAGTACCCACCCAACAACAAAACACCTTCTCCCTGAACCTCGGACTGGGTGGGTCAAAAGAATGACTGTTGGCTGCAGAGCTGACTTTCTTCCTAGCCTGAGAAACCTAGCTCCTTCTGGCAGCCCCTTTTCTCAACATTAACCATGCTAGGTTTCAGTATGCATTGGCCACTGACAACTTCGGGCAAGGAAGTTCACACCTCTGCCCTGAGGGTCCTTGTCAGGAAACAGCTGGGCTTGTGTGGTGTGTGAACACCACGGTCTATGTAACTTGCTGTGTGACATTGTGGTTACTGCACTGGAACTGAGCCACAAAACAGAATATTTTCATAAGCAAATATCCTCCTGCATCAGCCATGTGGAAACAGAAACCGGAAGTGAAAGGGCCAGCGTGCTCAGACAATGACAGTGAAAAAGAGAACACTAATCAAGTCCAGTTTCTTAACAGTTTCAAACAATCCATCTCCATTCAGACTGAATGACTGGTAGGAACGAGGAGGCAGCTGCACCCAAATGCCTATGCCCTGAACCCCAACAGTATGTTGGCTTTCACCTACATGGTCTGGCCTAAGAAGGGTCTAGTGGTCTCTCTTGGGGCACCAGGCAGGCAGTGTTTAGACCAGGCCTTTTTTTTTTTTTTTTTTGGGGGGGGGGGGGGATCCGGTCGTGGGGCCTGAATTCTAGGCCTGGGCGCTGTCCCTCAGCTCTTCAGCTCAAGGCCGGCGCTCTACTTGAGCCACAGCACCACTTCCGGCTTTTTTCTTATGTGGTGCTGAGGAATTGAACCCAGGGCCTCAGGCATGCAAGGCAAGCGCTCTACCACTGAGCCACCTTCCCAGCCCCAACACCAGGCTCTTCACATGGCTTTGTCCTCTAGGATTCAAGATGCAGATTTCAGACAGGGAATGGTTAGGCTGGGCTCATTGTATTTCTCTGACTCTGCATGGGAAAAGGATGTAAAAGCCAGGCGCTAGTGGCTCACACCTGTAATACTAGCTACTCAGGAGGCTGAAATCTGAGGATCATGGTTCCAAGTCAGCCTGGGCACGAAAGTCTGTGAGATTGTTAACTTCAATTAACCACCCCCAAACCGGAAATGGAGCTATGGCTGGCTCAATGAAGCATGCTCAATGAATGCTAGCCATGAGCAAAACAAGCTCATGGAGGTAGTGGCGCTGTGGCTCAAGTGGTAGAGCGCTAGCCTTGAGCTAAAGGAACTCAGGGACAGTGCCTAGGTCCAGAGTTTAAGCCCCAGGACTAAAAGAAGAAGAAAAAAAAAAAGGATGTAAAGTCAGTTTCTTAAGAGTCCTCGTAGACCAAAACTCCTTTCCTTGGAGAGCAACAATAATTGAGGGCAGAGAATCCCAAGGAGACAGTGAAATACAGGGGCTGTGTAATGCAGCTCTGTCCCAAAGGAGACAGTGTCTGTGTAATTCACAACATAGTAGTTACTGCTCTAAGTATTACCTAAGTATAAAGGACAGGAGAAAGGGTCTCTCTCTTTCCAGGTGACTATCTGTAGCCTGATCCACCATCTCCAGACTCCTGTCTACCTAATCAGGGCAACTTTAGCCTCCCCCAGGGCTCTCCTTAGTTTCTTTAACATATACTGCAAATGCTTACATTGTGTTTGCTACTCTGCAAATGAGGTCTCAGAGATAATCAGTCTGAGGAAATGAAGCTGGGGGGCAGCAAGCAAGGGGTGTTCTGATTGGAGGACAGATGGAGTGCAGCACAGACAAGGCACAGGGCAGGCCGGCACCTGCCGCATTGCCATTCCCAGTCTCCTCACCTCTATTTCCTTCCTGCCTTGCTTGGGTGATGTCTACCTTCCTGACATCAAATTATTAACAAATAGAGATTGATACTATCTTGTGTGCATGGTTTCAAATTAATAACCTGCCTGTGTTCCTTCAATGCCAACTGCCTCCCAGTTAAACGGATGTCTCCATTTCTTAGTTTGAGAAACTAAGTTACAGAGAAACTAGAAAGAACAGAGGATTAGAGAGAGGATAAGAAAGATAACCTTTTTCCTTGGCTTCAAGTTCATTATTCCTTTCTCTAGACAACCCTCCCTGCTCCACTCATTGGAAATGGAGCACGGGTCTGTGTGTCATTCTAAGGAAACTTTGGGAAGAAGAGAGGATGGGACTCCCCAGACTAGTTAAAACTTTCTAAGAGACACAAGATCAAAAGAATGAGCTATTATTAAAACTAACAAGTAACATTTATATGGTTTAACAAGTTACAAAGAGCCTTTATGGATGCTTTTATGTGAGCTCCTCCTAACAACTTAAGAAGGTAGAAATCATGCTTATCTTCATTTAAGAGCATTTAAGAGCTATCAGCTGGGTGCTGATAGCTCACACCTGTAACCCTCGCTACTTAGTAGGCTGAGATCTAAGGATCAGGGTTCAAAGACAGCCTGAGCAGGAAAGTCCATGAGACTCTTATCTCCAGTTAACCACCGAAACATCGATAAAGGACAGTGCCCAAACTCTGAGTTCAAGTCTCAATTAGTGGCACAAAAATAAATAATAAATACATTTTAAATAAAGAAGTGGACACTCAGAAGGCTGAAATATCTGTGTGATGAAGGCTATTAGTGGAACCTGGTTTAACCCAGGCTTGTGCCCAAGCTCTGAGTCTGGTAATTGCCCCAGAGGCATTCTCTAGAATGAGTAGAGGCACAGGCCTTGGAGCCTGGGGAATGGCTTACTGCTGATCCCAGATGATGAGGTGGAACAGGTACTTGGAGAAATGAGCCCTTCGGGTCTGGAGGGGGCTGCACAGCTCCTTGCCACCATGGCTAAGAGAGCAGGAGAGGTAGAATTCTTCATAGCTACAAAAGAAAGAGCAGAATAAATCAGGATACCTGCCCCCTCAAAACCAATCTCAGTCATCCTGCATCTTTGCCTCCTCTCTATGCTAAACTATTTCCGCGGGTAGAACTGCTCTGGGTCTCTGGAGACATAACCTGGGTCAGGGACAAGTTGGATTTAAGGAAACACGCTCAAGAGGCAGCAATTCAATCTAGATCCTTCTTCTCTGCAGGATTTGAGGCTCCATGAGGAGCTGGGGGTGGAGGGGGGCTGTTCTTCCTTTCCCAGCTAGCTTCCTCTTCTGTCAGGTCCAGCCCATCCATGGGGGTGCCCCTGCACACGTGTGTGTATACAGATGTGTGTGAAAGTGCATGGGGAGGTGTGGGAGGGGGGGGGAACGACATATGCTGCCATGAATGCCAACACATGGGGTCCCTGTGGCTCATGACAGGTGCCTGTCAGAAAAGGTCAGAGAAGGCCCCGGTTTCCCAGGCTGCCTTCTTTGTTCTCTGCCAATAGCCCAGAGGAATACATTAAGGAAAAGAACAAAGAGAGAAGGGGGAAAGGAAGAGAAAAGGAGGGGCTGGGAAGGGCGGAGTGGGGCCAAATGCCTATTCCCCGGGAACCTGGGGCCTTGGATGCTGAGACTGGGCATGGAGGAAGAGCTGAAGATTACCAAATGATGATCCTCCTCTACCTCTCTGCTCACCCCTGCAAGCCTAAGGAACCCCAGACAAAAGGTCACTCCTACCTCCCGCCCCTCCCACTGGGCCTCTGCAGGGGAGTGCAGTCATTGGCCATGGGGCGGGCTCTATCTGGGAACTAGCCATCTGTCGTGTCTCCCTCAGCTGGCTTTGGATCCAGAGGGGGGCAGGAGGATGCAGAGGCAGCCAGCACGGAGGGGGTGGCAGGTGCTTCTCCATCTCCATGGGGACCTTGTCTCTCAGAGATGTCCCAGCCTGGATTCCCCTCTGGCACTTGGCTCATCCCCTCAGCCCCGGTGTACCAGAATGCCACACAATGCCACACATGCTATGTCCAACAAATCGTAGCCTACCTGGTAGCCCAAATGATGGGGATGCGGTGGGTGGCGTAGATGGTGAAGGCCAGGGCCCCTGAGAAATGGCAGGCCTCCTGGACCAGATCATGCTTGCGGCTTCCGGGCACTGCCGTCTGGAAGTCTGCATTGAACGTGTTGCAGTACAGCTCCACCAGGTCCAAGATGGCTGCCGTCAGGGCTTCCACAACCTTCTCTGTGAAAGCATGGGATCAAGGGAAACCTGTGAGGTCTCCATGAGCACCATCATGTTGCCATGACACTGACCATGGGATAGTTAGGATAGCGGTTCTCTAATGTCAGCTGGTTTCTAATGGTGGTGACAAAACTTGCCCATCTGTGGTGGAGTGGAGAAAAAGCAGGAGCGATTCCTGAGTTTTCCTAAAGTGACTATGGGTTTTAAACATGTTTTTTGTTGTTGTTATTATTTTGATTTTTTACATATGGCTCCTTTTATATTAGTTACTGTTGAAATGTCCTTTCTTTTAGGACATTTGGTAATAAAACTGCCAATTGTTGGGCTAGAGGCATGACTCATGGTACAGTGTCTGCTAGCAAGTGCAAGGCACTGAATTCAAAACCCCAGTTATTGCCAAAAGAAAAAAGATCCAGCTGGGTGCTGGTAGCTCATGTCTGTAATCCTAGCTACTCAGAAGGCCGAGACCTAAGAATCATGGTTGGAAAATCAACTTGGGCAGGAAAGTCCATGAGACTCTTTACCTCTAATAAACTACTCAAAAAGACAAAAGTGGCACTGTGGTTTAAGTAGTAGAGGACTAGCCTTGAACAAAAGAAACCCAGGGACAGCACCCAGACCCTGAGGTTCAATCCCTAGGACTACCAAAGAAAGAAAAAGAAAAAGATCCAAAGAGTCCTATCTTAGCAAAGTAAAAAGCTGACAAGGCTGAACTGGTAGACCCCTTGCTCAGTTTGTGCAAGGTAATGGGTTCCATCCCTCCCCCCACCCCGCGTCCCCCCCTCTGCCCCCACACACAGCTGTCAATTCTATGTTGGCCCCAGACACCTACTGAGGACATTTTATTAGTCTACAATATCCAAAAGACTGGAAACTAATATAAGAATTTCAGTGAAAGAGGCCTTTGGAACAAACTTAAAGAACAGGGGATCCATATCAGATGCTGGTGGCTCATGCCTGTAATCCTAGCTTTGTAGGAAGCTGAGATCTGAGGATACCAATTCAGAGCCAGTCCAGGCAAATCCAGAAGAATCTCAGCTCCAAGTAACTAGGGAAAAGCCAGAAGTAGGGCTGGGAAGGTGGCTCAGTGGTAGAGCACTTGCCTTGCATGCCCTGGGTTCGATTCCTCAGCACCACATAAGCAAAAAGAAAAAAACCGGAAGTGGTGCTGTGGCTCAAGTGGTAGAGTGCTAGCCTTGAGCTGACGAGCTGAAGGACAGTGCCCAGGCCCAGAGTTCAGGCCCCACGACCGGACCCAAAAAAAAAGAAAAGCCAGAAGTAGAGGCATGGCTCAGGTGTTAAAACACCAGCCTTGATGGAAAAAGGTCAACAGGAGGGCAAGGCCCTGAGTTCAACAAGCCCCAGGACCATCACACACACACACACACACACACACACACACACACACACACACACACACACACACACACACACACACACACACACACACACACACACACACACACACACACACACACACACAGAAGAAATCCTCATGAGAAATGAGAAATTCCCTCTCTCAGTTTCCCAATGCCCATTCAGAAAGTGAGGGTTGTATGTTGCTGGGAGATAAATCACAACCAGCACAAGTATAGCTCTGCCATGCGGATGGAAAGGCCAGCTCTGCCTCACTGCCTGCTACCTCGCCTCCCTCTTCAGGAACACCATAAAGCACTGACTAGCAAGAAGAATGAGAAAATAATCTGTGGAAAGAAATGTGGGCTCCAGCTGTGTCCACACCTCATAAGAAAACACAGACACAAACACACAGATACACACATAGACGGACGGACGGACACACACACACACACACACACACACACACACACACACACACACACACACACACACACACACACACACACACGGCCAAATCCAGGAAAGGCATCTGGACCAAGAACTGCCCCTCCCAGACAAAGAAGGAGAGCCATTTCCTTACCTCGGTTTTTCCTCACAGCCAAGACGCTGGGATCCTGTTGGGGAATAAAAAGAGGGAGTGAGTTCCAAGAGACACAGCCTTTTCCATCACAGCTGGAGAAAGGCTTTTTCACAGCTGTATTCATCTGGGTCAGACTGGGCTGAAATGTTAGGAGCAGAGATTCCCCAGGGAGGGGGGACAATGGTTTCCGCCAGAGCTGCGTGATGGACAGAGTGGACTGCTGGGATTAAAAACTGTCTCATACGCTCTAATGCAAAAGTCCACCCCTCGAGTCCCTTAACTGAGGACCACAGGGCTACAGTTGCTGGTCCTGTTCCCAATATAGGGTCTCTGAGCTGAAGGCGGGGGAGCGGAGGGGGAAAAAATGGAGATTCTCCTGGTTTGATTCTTCAGGCTGATGACAAGCCAACTGTCAAACAATGCTTTGGTGGTCACGAATAAAGCCTTTCCAGCCCAGGCTCACCCAGCCAATCTAGGGGGTAGACCCCAGCCCATCCTTATTCTCAGTAAGTGGGGACACACATGGCATCCAGTTTCTCAGGAAATTCTGTTTGAACTGCTTCTACATAAAAGATGGAGCCTTTTAGCATGTGAACTTCCCATCACTCAGCAGGTAGCAGCCCGGTGCCCTGAAGCCACTCCCCTTCCCCAGGTTAACGCCTGAGCCCTTTACCTTCTGGATTTTAGGCTGCATGCGCGAGGGGCAGGGGGGCAGCTGGTTGAGAGCGCTGGTGATCTCTGGGGTTTCCACTGCAGCAAGGGCATTGCAGATGGCCTTCACAGACTGGACCACCCTGTCCGCCTTCAGCGGGAAGTCCTCCTGTGGGAGGCCACGCAGGGAGGCTGGCTCAATTCTATGCTATTGACCCTCAACCTTCCAATCTTTAAAAGAAGGAGCCGAGAAGGGTAGGGACTGAAGACTAAAGAGGAACTGTAGAGCTCATATTTTTTTCTTTCTTTTTTTGGTGCTGGTCCTGGGGCTTGAACTCAAAGCCTAGACACTGACCCTTACTTTACAGAGCAAGGCTGGTGCTCTACCACTTCAGCCACAGCTCCACTTCTGGATTTTGGCGATAAATCACTTGGATTTGTCTGCCCAGGCTGGCTCTGAACTGCCATCCTCAAATCTCAAACCTCTTGAGTAGCTAGGATGACAGGTGTGGGCCACTAGTGCCCAGGCTATATTTACTTTCAAATACCCTTCCTCAGCAAACAGCAACTCACCCTGAATTTAAAAGGGCCACACCCATCTTTCCCATTCTCTCAGCCATTGCCCTCTTACACCACCTCAGTCAGCAATAGTTTATCCACTTCTACACATGCAGGTTTTCCCCAGAGGCCTATAGTTTAAGAAAAGCAATCTAAGCCGGGCACCGATGGCTCACACCTGTAATCCTAGCTACTCAGGAGGCTGAGATCTGAGGATCACGATTCAAAGCCAGCCCGGGCAGGAAAGTCCATGAAACCCTTATCTCCAGTAAACCACCAGAAAACCGGAAATGGCGCTATAGTTCAAGTGGTAGAGAGCTCAGGCCGAGTTCAAGGCCCACGACCGGGGGGGGGGGGGGGGGGGGGGGGGGGGGGGGGGGGAGGAATCTAAGCTAGGAGCTGGTATCTTATGCCTATAATCCTAGCTACTCAGTAGGCTGAGATCTGAGGATCATGGATTGCAGTCTGCCATGGCAGAAAAGTCCATGAGACTCTTATCTCCAATTAACTAACAAAACTCCAAAAGTGGATATATGGCTCAAGTAGCAGAGTACCAGCCTTGGGGGGCAAAGCCAAGTGAGAGTATGGCCCTGAATTCAAGCCCCAGTACTGGTGCATGTGCACACACATTCATGCACGCACGCGCGCGCGTGCACACACACACACACCCCAATTCTTTTTTTTTTTTTTTTCCGGTTGTGCGGCCTGAACTCTGGGCCTGGGCGCTGTCCCTCAGCTCTTCAGCTCAAGGCTAGCGCTCTACCACTTGAGCCACAGCGCCACTTCCGGCTTTTTTCTTTTTGCTTATGTGGTGCTGAGGAATCGAACCCAGGGCCTCGAGCATGCAAGGCAAGCGCTCTACCACTGAGCCACCTTCCCAGCCCCACACACCAATTCTTAAGGACCAAGAACTAGGCTAGAAAGAGACCATGCTAAGGCCTTACTTGCCCACTCAGACTTACTCCTCATGATCTCTTCACTTCATGACCTTCACACTTTTGAGGCCAGTCCCAATCAATTTCATATTCATGCAGTCCTCTCTCCCTTCCCCTCTGTACTTTGGCTTCTGTAGTTTTCTCATCTAGAATCTGCTGTCCTATCTGATCCTGATTGCCTGTGTCAATTTAAAGCAGGGACCAGGCAAAAATCGTACCTTTCACAAAGCTTTCCCCCATCCCTGCCAGTGTCCCTCTAGCTTTCTCCAGGAGCCCTTCATTAACTTATTGCCATCCTCTCATAGCTATCGTATTAGATTACTGTTTCACCTCTTTAAGCTCCACATGGGCTAAGACAATTCTTACACTGCAGCTGCCAGCACAGACTCCATGGTCAGAGAGTCCTCTCCTTGTTACTGTGCATGTTCAAGCAGAGGCCACTAGACAACGGATCCTGGTAGTGGGCAGAACACGAGTACACAAAATTCCCAATGCCTTAGAAGAGTTAATGGCTACTAACTGGATCAAGGAGATATCTTAAGAGATCATTTCACCCAGGAGCTGAAATCCTAGCCACTCAGGAGCTGAGATCTGAGGATCGCAGTTGGAAGCCAGCCTGGGGAGGAAAGGCTGCGAGACTATCTCCAGCTAACCACCAGAAAACCAGAAATGGCACTGTGGCTCAAAGTGATAGAGTGCTAGCCTGGGGCACCAAAGCTCAGGGACAGTCCCTGAGTTCAAGCCCCACAACTGACAAAAACAAAAAAACAAAAAAGAGATCATTTCAAAGGAAATCTGTCTTAGTGTTGTGCCATTTGAGCATATTTAAAAGTTTCAAAGCCTGAGGTTCTATATAAGTCCAAGTGCAATGAAAGCTGGCCACGCCATACATTTTAGACCTCCCACCTCCTGAGAGTTTCTACCTATGACACTAGCTCAACGAAAGCTCTCAAACTGGAGGTTCCGGGGCGAGGTTTACAGGACACACCCACCAATGAACGTATTAGTGCAGAAGCTGGGGAGACAGCTCCAGGCCCCTTAGCATGGACATGCCCTACTTCAGAAATGGGTCGGCTTCGTGGCCTACATGCTCTCCAGAGGAACAGACTCCTTTCTACACACTGGCTGCTCCACAGCCAGTAGTTCTGAGTTAGGGGGATAGAGAGTCCTCTACTGACTGGTGCTCAGGTCTACCTAGACCCCTCATGGTGCTGGATGATCCCAGGAAGCTTGAAGAAGAGAAAGGAACCTTCCAGAAGCTCCTGTCTGGCCGGCCCCATTATTTATACTCACATCAGCCAGAAGAAAGGCATCCACCTCATTGTGGTAAGTGTCGAACAGAAGACTCAGGGCCTGCCTGGGAAGTGGGGGGAGGGGAGAAATCACAGGGGAGGTCACAAAAGACCCAGTGCCCAGGGAGAGCCATCTTCTTCTGCCCCCTCTCCTTTGCTTAGGGATCAGGTTTTGATTGCAAGGGGTTACCACTCTTCCCATGCCCCTTGAAGGTGGAAGAAAGCATCCTTTCTGCTTCACCACCCCTTGCTTAGAGAAGGTCAGCTACATACTAGAGGAAAGAGGTTATGCACAGGACTGAGAATGTGGCTTAGCAGAGTGTTTGCCTATATGCATGAAGCCCTAGGTTTGATTCCTCAGTACCACATACACTGAGAAAGCCGGAAGTGGTGCTGTGGCTCAAGTGGTAGAGCGCTAGCCTTGAGCACAGACTCAGGGACAGTGCCCAGGCCCTGAGTTCAAGCCCCAGGCCTGGCAAAAAAAAAAAGGGGGGGCAGGGGTAAAGCATATTCTACAGTGAGGATTCTCTCTCTAGATTCTGTGGTCCAACCTTGGACACCTGCAAACATCTCTCATTTGTGCAGTAAGTGCTGTCTCACACCTCCTGTTTGGACCACAGCCCCGCTCTCACCTGCTGATGGTCTGCTTGACTGGCCTCTCTTGCAGATGGATGAGGTAGTTCAAGGTGGAGGGGCTCTGATCATCATTCACCTGTGTGAGCAGGAGCAGGACTTGGTTGAGGCACGATGGTACCTTTCTCATAGTCTCGTACTCCCATTCCCACCCGACTGTCACCCAAGAATGTCCCATGTTGCCCTCTGCCCATTCCAGCTCTCTGAAATCACCCCTCACACGAACCGTCCTGGCTAGGTCACTGCGCACAGCCTTCTGCTCCATCAGCTGTAGTCGGATGTCAACGTCAAACTTGCGGCAATATTGGATATACTCATGGCTGCCCAAGGCATGCTTGCTGGTAGGGTAGAGAGAAAGATCATTAGCATCAGTGAGAAGAGAGATGCATCTTGGCCTTGAAGAGAAAGAACCAGGTGGAGGGGGTGGGGTAGGATCTACGTTGTAGCCTCTATTCTTGGATTCCTAGAAAATGTCATGGTGGAACTCAGGGGAAAGCATAAAAGCCACCTATAACACTCAGCCCTTGTGCAGCACAAATATTGACTCTTCCAGGTATTTATTACCTGCGTGGTTATCACTGGTTCATTCCCAGGGTAGAAACTGCCACAGTAGGAATTGTAAAGTGGAGAACAGAACAGAGGAGGTCCACAAGAAGTTGTTTAAGTCCTACTCTCTTAGTTTCAGTGTAGGAGACAAACCAGAGCAGACTTGCTGGGAGTTCTTCCCAGCTCTGGTGTTGCCACCCACTTTCCACATGACCAACTAGAGTACTGAGATCCTGAGACTCCAGACCTGCTATCCCCATCCAAACTCTGTCTCTCCTTCCTGAATGTATATTGCTTGTTTGGGAATCACCCACAAGTTTCTGCAGACCTCATAGGAGCTATGCACTATCCCTACAACCAGCACCTACAGGAGAGAACTTTGCAATTCTCAGAGCAGGACCAAGGGAGTCCTTCCAGCCTCTCTTCCACTTGTATCACCATCCAGCCTCTCTTCCACTTGTATCACACCTCAATCAGAAACCCAAGAGAAGCGGGGCTGGGAAGGTGGCTCAGTGGTAGAGCGCTTGCCTTGCATGCCTGAGGCCCTGGGTTCGATTCCTCAGCACCACATAAGCAAAAAGAAAAAAGCCGGAAGTGGCGCTGTGGCTCAAGTGGTAGAGCGCTAGCCTTGAGCTGAAGAGCTGAGGGACAGCGCCCAGGCCAGAGTTCAGGCCCCACGACCAGACCCAAAAAAAAAAAAAAAAAACCCAAGAGAAGGGACAGAGGGAGTTCCCCTATATGCCAGCACAGTGGGCCTGGGGCAGGTCCAGCAGCTGGTAACAGAAGCCGGAAACAGACTTCCTTCCTTAGCAGAGCTGGGAATCCAGGCCAGAAATGGAGAGGAGGGGAGAGGAACAAGCAAGAGGGGGATGTGTGGAAGCCAGAGAAGGTACAAGTTCTAAAGCTAGCCCAGACCCTTTGGGGACTACACCTCCAATCTGACACCTGACTTGCTATGATTGAAGTGTTACCAAAACACTGGAGAAGCTACGCGGAAGGAAGGAAGAATGTGGTGCTAGTGGGGGAGGTGGCAGGAAACCCAACCCTCCCCTAAGACTATCTCAAGGTTCTTATCTGAGAGCAGCCTACATCCTAGACCAACACCTCCCCTCCATATCAGCCTCTCTGGTCAGGCAGGGGTAGGAATCCAAAGGGCTCCCTAGGGAACTAGCAGTCGTCTAGAATCTTCCTCCCATCCCAGTCCTCCTCCCACACACAGAAGGCCCTCTCCACAAGGAAACAGGACTAGACTTTTAAGTAGAATGGGCAGGGGTCCTGGACCAGGATCATGGCCACAGGCCCCCCCCCCCCCCCAGGAAGTTTGCTTGACTTTCTCTTTGGATGGCATGACCTGGGGACCATGGGCCCTGTCTCACCTCACTGGAATATTCCATATGGGCCTTCACAGGAAGGTGGAACCAGACAGCTCCTCCCACCTCTGAACTCCAGGGCTCCTGGACTAGAGCTGCTGTCCAGATGCAGCATCTGTATAATGCTGAGTCCTTTCTCAGGGCTGCTCCTCCCTTGCTGCTATTCACCACTGATCATTGGGTCCTTTTCATGTTCATCTATCTACTTCTTTTTTCCTTTTGTGCCAGTGGTGTTTGAACCTCATACTCTCACTTGGCATTTTTTTTGCTCAAGAACGGCACTTTGCCACTTGAGCCATACCATTAGTGGCTTTGGGGCAGTTAATGGGAGATAAGAGTCTCACAGATTTTCCTGCCCAGGCTGGCTTCCAACTTCAATCTTCAGATCTTAGCCTTACAGCTAGGATTACAGCTATGAGCCACCTGCACCTGGCATATCTGTTTTTCTACCAGAGCCTCACTCATGCTTGGCCTCACCTCCACCACTACATACCCAAACTAAACCCTTACTTCCTTCTAGCAGCCAGCAGCAAGCTGCCCAAGGCTCTTACTGACAGGAAACTCTGAATCTAGGACCCCATTCTACTTCCCTAAGGGGAGCAAAGACACAAGCAAGTACTGCATGGGTGCATGGGGCATATTTGAAGGTCTCCTGGTGTTGTGCTATGTAGGTCCTGTCCTTCCCTTTCCAGATAAGAATGTGGAGACGGGGGGGGGGGGGGGGGGGGGGTGCGTGCGTGCGTGCGTGCATGTGTGTGTGTGTGTGTGTGTGTTTGTGTGTGTGTGTCCCTAAGGTTGAAGAAACCAGCCAAGAAATGAGTCTTCAATCCTCACTGCCAATTCTGTGCTCTAGCCATGAGCAACCATCTTTGTAACTAGATTACAGGTGAGAGACAAAGGGTATGGTGGCATTTAGCAGGCACTGCTAAGAAAGTAGGCATAGGTCTCCCTTTCCCCTACTCCAGGCGGCCAGAAATGGAAGGCAGAAGCCAACTGGATGCCAGAGGTTGGAAAGCAAATCTCCACATCTGTCTGCTACCACCAGGCTGTGTACTCCCTGAGGGGTGGGAATCTCACCCCGCCTCCCCTTCGTCACCCCAGTCCTCCAGAGCTCTAGGGCAGTGGAAAGGGGGTTGTTTCAGCCTGTCCACATCATACTTTCCAGGGAGGCCACCTTCTGCAAAGGGTCCTGGCTGGAGAGGAGCTGGAAGCCAGCCTGTGGGAGAAGGAAAACCAGCTGCGTAGGCCAGAGTAAGGGAAAAGGCGTGCTGGCACAGGAACTGGGCAGAGAGAACAATTGTATTTTCTCCTGTAGGTTCACAAGGACACCTCTGCCCAGTTCTATGTATCCAGCCACGTATCCTCTGAAGCAGGAGCGACAACCACTCAGGCTTCCCTAGGCGCTGTCCCCTAAGCAAACAGAAGTCCGCATACATAGGACCTCGTCTTTGCCTGGTGCCAGCTCCAAGCTCTTTCCACAGCAGCTTTGGCTCAGGATCCAGCCAAACTTGCTGGAAGACGGAGCTCCCTGAAGAAGCGTGTCGTGGCCGGGAGTGTGCCCAGAAAAGCGAGAGTCCTCATTGCAAAGTGGGGCAGAGCTGCCAGTCCTGTGTTCCCAAGCCCGTCATAATTCTACCATCCAGAAGGCAGGTACTGCCTCCACCCCCACCTTTCTCATCTGTCCTCCCCTCCTCCCCCACCACGTCCACTTACTTCTGTAGAAACTCCTCCAGCCCACAGGGCTTGAGCACAAAGTCCCCCACGTCCACTCCCCTCAGTTCGTCATGGGTGTAGCACAGGGTCTGGTAGATGAGCAGGTCGACAGTGGAGGAACCTACAAGTGGATGGGTCAAGCAGAGTAGGCAGGTGCAGCTCCATCTCCCCACTCAATCTGCCATCCCCAGCCAAGCGGTCCCCTGCACCTTCACTGACCAGATAACCTTGGCAAGCAAATAGCCTTAGGACATACAAAGCTGGTCCTAGACCCTGACCCCAAAAGGAACTTTCCCTCTGCCCATCTGGGCTACAAGGTGAGCTGAGACTTCAGTCCCCTGCCTCTGGCTCAACGGGTGCTCATGTCCCCTCCCCAACTAACTTACAATTGCAGGTAAAAGTGAGAGGCTCCCGAATGCTATCACACAGCACAGTGACCTTCAGGTTGACCTCATCGCCAAGGTGCTCTGGGCTCGGGGTGACAGCACTCCAGACATAGCCGGTGAGGGAGTAGTCCTGGATGTCACAGCCCAGTCGAAGGCTGTGCCGGAAGAAAGGAAGGACCCAGAGGTCTTCAGGGACCCACCTTCCCGGACACCCAGGTGTCCCTCTGTCCCCACACAGCTCAGCCCTCCAGGTCTACAGGCTAGGCTGGGGGCAGCGGGGAGGTAGCTCTGGGAAAATGTTTTTCCATCCTTGCTGCAGTTATAAAATGCTTCCCACAGTGGAAGAGTAGAGAGAGTTCCAAAATGACAAAGCTTTCCAGGCTCCGCTTAACAGAAAATTTTTATGAATTCATTTCCTTTCTCTTTTAATTCAAGAAAGCTTGAACTTATCTCCATCTGGGGTATATTTGCTCCGAAGGACAACTGAGGTCCGGAGTCTAAAGTGCTGAGGATAACTGTTCAATCAAGGTTTCATGAATTTTAGTAACAATGTGTAATATTGGGGGTGGGTTGAGTCAAGGGTACTGGGGCTTGAACTCAAGGCCCAGGCATTGTCCCTTAGCTTTTTTTCACTCAAAGCTGGTGCTCTAACACTTGAGTCACCCCCCTACCCCACTTTTTGCTAGTTAATTGGAGGTAAGAGCTGCTCCAATTTGTCTGCCCAGGCTGGCTTCAAACCAGGATCCTCAGTTCTCAGCTTCCTGAGTAGTTGGATTATAAGAGTGAGCTACTAGCACCTGGCAAGTTATGTGCAACTTCTAAGATATATGTATTTTTTAAGGGGTAGAAGGTCAGTTGTCAGGCTTGGACTCTGGCCCTGGGTGCTGACCCTGAGCTCTTCAGCTCAAGGCAAGCATTCTACCACTTGAGCTACAGTGCCACTTCTTATTTCCTGGTGATTTATTGTAGATAAGAGTCTCATAGACTCTCCTGCCAGGGCCGGTTTCAAACCATGATCCTCAGATGTCGGCCTCCTGAGTAGCTAGGATTACAGGTGTGAGCCACTGGCGCCTGGCAACCAGCTTCTGTTGGAGGTTAATTTAATATGGCTCTTCTTCCTCCCTAAAGAAACATCACAGATAGGCAACTCTCCTCCCCACCTCCACAATTCTCCCAAGCCCCCGCACCCATTTTTTTTTAACTCTTACATATCCAGCATGTGGCAAAATGCAGCAACTTCTTCATCTCGCTCTTCTGAGACCTCAAACAACTCATGGCTATGGATGACAGTGTGAGGCCGGGAACCCACCTGTAAGGGAGGAGTGGCCAACTCAATGCCTTTAGCAGCCCTTCCCTGAAGGGCCTCCCAGCTTTAAACCCAAACTCGAGGTGTAAACACTTTCTGGCTCCTCAGCTCCATAAAAAGAGCACAAGAAAGGATGAGAAAACTGGAACTCTGTCTTAGGAAGCCAAAAGTCAAGGCAGAAAAAAAATAGAGTTGAATCTCAGGTTAAGGATGAAAGCTAGGGAGCAGGGGACCAGAGTCACAGAACCCACTCTGTGAGGGGAAGTATCTGACCAGCCCAGGGCTGCCAGTCAGGCAGCATATGGCACTGTGGGCCACAGCGGGATGGCCTCTAAGGGGCTCAGTTGGTGAGCCGAGAAAGGCAGCTCTAAGCCTTCTAGGCCAAGCAGATGGGTAACCTAAATGGTCCTTGGGGAAGCTTCACCCCTGAGCAAAAGCCTCAAGGACCGGGGAGAGAGAAAGAGAGAAAGAGAGAGAGAGAGAGAGAGAGAGAGAGAGAGAGAGAGAGAGAGAGAACCCTTCAATAGGGGCAATGACTCAGAAACATGTGTCTTCTCGTAAGTGCTATTTGAGGAAGAAAGTGTTCAAGCAGCAATCTGGGCAGGAGAGAACCTGGTAGAAGGTTTGGCTCCTCCAGGCTCCGGGGCGGATAGAATGGCAGGCACCTTGCCCTGCCTGCTCCCACACTTCCTCTCCCAGAACCTATTCATAAGTATGGAGTCAGGATTCTCAGACAAGGCCCCAAACTGCGTCCCATCCCAGAGCTGCTATCCTAATCACACAGTAGCGGCCCTAAAGAAGCCCTTAAATGCACCCTAGGGAGAAGCAAGTGTGATGAGGCTGAGGGGGAGTGGAGGCCCACGGGTTGTGGCTCACAGGCCCGCCCAGGGTGGCCACACAGGAAATGAGGTTTCTGCTCCATGGAGTCACAGCCTATCTCCCCTAAAGGCAGGGGGTTCGAACAGCTGCTTCCAGAGGGATCACATCCCCATGCTTGCTTCCTCCCTCACACTCCTGGGTGTGTGGGGGCACATGGAGGGGCTGGGAGGACAGCTGTGGGGGCAGTTGGCATGTGAGTCTCTGGCTCTGCCAAGTGCGTGCCTGTGCCCCAGTCAAAACAATAGTACCACTGTCAGCAATTAACCCAAGAGAGAGAGAGAGAGAGAAAGAGAGAGAGAGAGAGAGAAAGAGGGGGGGAGGACAGAGGAAAAGAAGAGAGGCAGAGAGAAAAGAATAGCCAATGAAGGCTATTTCATGCCCTTTCTGTACCACTCACTGGCACTGTAAGAAAACAAAAGCCACTTACGTTTGCCCGGCTGGCAGGCCCTGGTTGCATCTCCTGATGCTTGTTGGGGGGGTCTGCCAGGCAGTGGCTGGCAGCGGGGGTAACAGGCTGGCATCTGGAACCAGCCATTTCCAGAGATGGCTCAGCAGGCCTGGGATTAGGAAGGTCCCTCTGGCGGCAAGCCCGGCGAAGGCGGGGTGGGGGGATAGGCCGGGGGCCCAAGGGGTCCCCCCTCCTAGTGGGCTGAGCCCTTATATTAGGCTGAGGAGGGGAAGACCAAGGCCGCATTTCCCTCCCCCCTGCTCAGAACTGGCAAAAGGTTTTTGCTTTGCCCTCACTTCTTCAAGGAGACTCAGGGACCAGGCTCTCTCGGGGAAAACTAATGACACACAGGATGGGGGGGGGGGGGGGAAGCGAGAAAGGGAGAGGCAAGGGAGAAGACAGAGGTGACTACCTACCAGGGTGGCCTGACTCAGTGAGCAAGCCCGGCTCTGGGTGAGCTCAGCCAGGAACAGGATTCTCCCAGTCCCTATAAATAGCAGAACAGCTCCACCTCTCAAAGCAGGCCCTTTAAAAAGCCCTGAGGCTTGGGGCTCTGGCTCATCCCAGATCTCATTCTGCTTTTGTACAGGACCAGCAGAAGCAGGAAGGACTGGGTAGCTCTTTGGAGTTGGGATGGATCCCAAAGGCTAGACAGACACGAGGCAGGAAAGCCCAGTGTCCCTCAGTGTCCCTCAGACAATGGCTAACAAGGAAACGGGTGCAGTGAGGTAGACCAAGAAGCTGCCAGCTGCCACAGACGCTGTCAACTCTGGAGCCAGAGGACACACAAAATCACAAAGTGGCCTTTAGCTCCCACCCACCCACAGAGATGCCGCAGGTGCTACGGAGCCCGTCTGGAATGAAGTGTAAACATGGTTCTACTTTTCCCTGCACACTGATATGATTCAAACTATTATTGTTGTTGCCCGATTTCTCTAAATATTGCCAACGGACAAAGAGCAGGCAGCTATGTAAAAGTTCTACCGTGCAACTGCGCTTACCGACTCTGAACTACACTTAAACAGGGTTAAGATAGTAAACCTCTGCTGTGAGGTGTATTTATCACCATAAACACGGGGAGGAAGGGAGAGAGGAGGAGGGCAAGAGAGAAGGGACCTTTGGAACAGTAAGACCAGGGCTGAGTGCCAGCTCTGCCTTTTCTTGCTGTGTGTGGCTTGGGACTCTCAGGCAGGGTTGTTGTGGAGATCTGGACTGGAGTCCGGTATGCAATGAGCAAGTACTGAACGAGTGACTAGTCCTGAACGCTCTTCACCCCCAGGCAGCGCCTTGGCAGACAGGGCTTCAGGAACCGGAAGCGACTTGCTCAAATCCCCAGGGCCATTCAGTTAGTTACACTCGATGCTGAGTTCCCTAGCTTCTGACACTCCTTCCATCAGAAAGCGACAACCGAGCTTCCAAAAATGCTACCCCTAGAAGTGCACTTTGGGCCACGATATGTAAAACTTGACCCTGGAAAATAGTCACGCGTTTCTAGGGTCCCTCCCCCTAACTTCTATAACCAAGCCTATCCCCCAACAAGGATCCAGAGAGTCCCAATGGCAGAAGTAGAAGGGAGGGCCAAAGGGGGGCAGGTTAGAACTTGGAATGGCAAAGGGGGGGTCTGATCCTTGTCCCTAAAGGATTCAGGGAAGGGAGAAGGACAGAAGGGGCTCATGAGATCCTTACTGGAGCAGCTGAAATCCGGCGGTTCTTGCCAGGAGTCATATTCTTTTTGTTGGCATAGCGGGAGGCATAGGTTCGTGGGGGCACCTGAGGGGGCATGGTCTTGCTCCGAGCCACAGGTTTCCCAGGGGTGTCTTTGCTGAAATCCAGCGGTCCCCGGCCTTCCTTCCAGCCCCGGGTGGCATCCCACATCATCTCCGCATCATAGGTGGACTTCAGGTTGAGCCTTGTAATTGCATCGCTGATGCCATCATAGTCCCTAGACCCTAGCAGGTGCCCCTGACCCCCATCCCCCCGCAGCTCTCCCTCTTCTAGGATCTGCTGCTCCAAAATTTTGCCCGGAAGTGGTTCGACTAGAGAAAAAGTGTTGATGTCATTGGGCTGAGAGCTTTTAGAGGATGACGAGGGAGAGCCTTTTCTGGGAGGAAGGGGAGGGGTATCCCAGATAGAGACTCTCGGAGGCAAAGGAGGTGGGGATAGTTTCTTACAAGAGCCATCTTTGTCCCCTGGTCCGGGGGACAAAGAAAGTCCCTCATCTGAACCATCAAAAATGTAGAGATAATCTCCAGACAGGGAACTTTTGGGCCAGGGCCCTGGGCCAGGCTGGGAGCCCTGGGAGGTAGAGTGGTTGGGTGGCTCTTCCTGTGGGGAGATGGAGTTGTAATTGAGGGTAGGATCCGAGCCAGAGAGACCACGCAAGAGCTTGAGGTCCTTCCGCCTTCCTGATGGCTTGCTGTAGAAGTCCAAGGCAGGTTCATCCCAGCTGATGAGGGATGGCTCTGTGTTCTGCTTGGCCCGGCTCTCCTCCTTGTCATGCCGGAGCCGGGACAGGGCATCATACTCCATTTGGAGGGCTTCGGCCATGGCCAGCTCTTTGCGGCTGATGCCCACCGACTCCAGGGACTCCCAGTGTTCCCCATTGCCCTGATTCGAAGACATGGTGAGGATGGGAACACAAAAGACAGGGAAGCCTTTTACTTCCTGCCAGTGTCAGGCCTGGAGCCCTGGGGCATGGTGTCTGGACACCTGCAGGCAAGAAATGAAAGAAAAAAAAAAGCCATTCAGTTACAAGAAGAGACTGCTCAATGATGTAATGTATGTGACAAAATCTAGGCCAGTGAGTGCTTCTTCAGTGTCCGTAACAAGAAGGAAAAGAATCCAGAAAGATGGAGAAAATAAAAGATACCGGCACAGCTTTATTTTTGACATTCATCCACCCGTCTATTCATTATACGCCTCTCCATCGCTAGTCCTAACTCCCATCCTCCTCTCTTTTCTATCTGCCCAAGGAAAGAGAGGATTCCATGCTATCCACCAAGAGGAAAAGGTAGAAGTGAGGGCTGTTCAGTTAGATTAAAGAGGACAGCTGTCTAGGGCTGAGGATGGAGCTGACAGGATGCTTGCCTAGCAAGTATGAGGCCTTGGGTTTCCATCTCGGACAAAAACAACAACAACAACACACACACACACACACACACACACACACACACACAACTAAATTACTGCCAGGTGCTGGTGGCTCATATCTGTAATCCTAGCTACTCAGGAAAGTCTGTGAGACTCTTATCTTCAATTAACCTCCAGAAACTCGGAAGTGGATCTGTGGCTCAAAGAAGCAGAGTGCTAGCCTTGAGCAAAAGAGCTAAGGGACAAAGCCCGGGCCCTAAGTTCAAGCCCTAAGACAAAAAAAAAATTGGTGGTGGTGGTAGTGTGTGTGTGTGTGTGTGTGTATAGGACAACTAGGGTTTGAATTCAAGATCTTGTACTCACTCATGGACTTTACTGCAAGGACTGTCTTTGACCCGACATCCTCTGAATCTCAGCTTCCTGAGTAGGTAAGATTATTACAGGTATGACCCACCAGTGTCTGGCTTGTTTGTTTGTTTGTTTAAGAGCACAGTTCTAAACAACCACCTTGTGGCTGGCTACTTAGGCAGTCTCTTACAAAGGTAAATACTCTTACACAGGATTTAATTATCCTACTAATACCCAAGAAAACTTCTCAGCTCTTCAGCTCAAGGCTAGTGCTCTACCGATTTACCGACAGCGTCACTTCTGGTTTTCTGGTGGTTAATTGGAGATAGGAGCCAGGTGCTGGTGGCTCACACCTGTAATTCTAGCTACTTTGAAAGCTAAGATCTGAGGATAGAGGTTCAAAGACAGCCTGGGACAAAAGTCCATGAGACTCTTATCTCCAATAAACCACTCAGAAAACTGGAAGTGGAATTGTGGCTCAAGTGGTAGAGCCCCAGCCTTGAGCTGAGTGACAGTGCCTAGGCCCAGAGTTCAAGCCCCACGACTAACCAAAAAAAAAAAAAAAGAGTCTGATGGACTTTCTTGCCCAGGCTGGCTTTGAACCATGATCCTCAGATCTCAGACTCCTGAATAGCTAGGATTACAGGTGTGAGCCACCAGCGCCTGGTTCCAAGAAAACTTCTGTATCACTCAAACTTTTATACCAACTTATTTAAAAGCTTTATTTATAATATCCTCCAATCAGAAATTACTCAAATATCCATTAACAAATGTATAGGATTCTAAAAAAAAAAAAAAGGTACATCTACATATCTATTTATTTATTTTGTTGGCCGTGGGGCCTGAACTCTGGGCCTGGGTTCTGTCCCTCAGCTCTTCTACCACTGGAGCCACAGCATCACTTCTGGCTTTTTCTGTTTATGGGTACTGAGGAACCAACCCAGGGCTTTATATATGCTAGACAAGCACTCTACCACTAAGCCTCATTCCCAGCCTCCATTTCTGGCTTTTTTGGTAATTAATTGGAGGTAAGAGTTTCAAAGACATTCTTGCTTGGGCTGGCTTCAAACCATGATCCTCAGATCTCAACCTCCTGAGTAGCTAGGAATACAGGTGTGAACCACTGGCACCCAACTCAATAGATTGTTTTTTTGTTTGTTTTTGTCAGTCGTGGGGCTTAAACTCTGGGTCTAGGCGCTGTCCCTCAGCTCTTCAGCTCAAGGCTAGTGCTCTACCTCTTGAGCCACAATGCCACTTCTGGTTTTCTGAGTGGTTTATTGGAGATAAGAGTTTCACAGACTTTCCTGCCCCGGCTGGCTTTGAACCGAGATCCTCAAATCTCAGCCTCCTGAGTAGCGAGGATTACAGGTGTGACCCTCCAGCGTCTGGCTTTCCATAGATTCTTAAGAGGTAAATTCCATTCCATTTAAAATAGGATGAGAGCTAAGGTACCTTCCCAGAGCCCAGTGTATCTGCCAGGCCAAGGACCGGCCCAAACCATGTATGATGGCTCAGCAGCTCTGAGAACTAAAGCGCTCAGAATTCCAGTTCTCAAAGAAAGACTGGCTTGAGCCTAGGCTAGGTATCCACAAAAGCCCTCTGCCCATTTTTGCACCTGCTGAGTTTCCCTGCCCTTCCTTCCCTATGGATTATCTGTGACTACACAGAGGGTCCGAGGGAGTGCTGCTATTTGAAATTCAAAGGAATTGCATGAACAGATGAAGATGTTCAGAACTTGGCCATTCAAAGCTGGAAAACTGGACCCAGGAAAAGATGTCCCTAGTGCTTTGCAGATAGGAGATGCTAGCAACATACTCAAAAGTTGCACAGATTGAGACTTCACACATGCTAGGCAAGTGCTCTACCACCGAGCTATACTTCAGCCCAATTTAAGATTTCTATATCCAGAAAATGATCCTGTATTTTCAGCCCTGAGCTGAGGCAAGCAGTTGAGATTTGCCTTGGGCAGCACTGTGAGATTAACCTAAGGCCAGAAATAGCCTGTATTTAGCCTTACTTTGTTCCAGTTAGTCCCTGGGGAGAACAGAGGTTCCTGCCTCCGGAGAGGCACAATCCTCTCATGCATGTGTCCTCCCACCCAAGGTTCTCAGGGACTTCCCTTCCCTCTCCATGACCTCAGAGTCCAAACGGCCACCCATGGCCACCCGCCCCCCACCCCCACCCCTCTTTCCTCCTAACACCCTGTTGGTAACCCATCCAAAAGTTAGAATCCCTGGGCCTGGGAAGGTGGCTTAGTGGTGGAGTGCTTGCTTAGCATGCATGAAGTCCTGGGGTCGATTCCTCAGTACCACATACACAGAAGAAGCCAGAAGTGGTGCTGTGGTTCAAGTAGTAAAGCACTAGCAATGAGTACAAAGAGGCTCAGGAACAGAACTCAGGCCCTGAGTTCAAGCCCCAGAACCACCACCACAAAAAAAAATTAGAATCCACTTGAGCCCTCCTTCCCCCTTCCCTGCTTAAGTTAACCACCAAAGCTAGGCAGTCCTTCTAACCTATCTGTCTGTCCTGATCCAAGCCCAAAGCTCTCAGCCTCACTTCCCACCTCCTTCTTACTGAGACAGGTCTCTCTCTTTTCAAGGCTTTTTTTTTTTGGGGGGGGGGGGGGTTGGTTGGTCCTGGGGCTTGAACTCTAGGCCTGGGTGCTGTTCTTGAGCTCTTCACCTCAAGGCTAGGGCTCTACCACTTGAGCCACAGTGCCACTTCCAGTTTTCTGAGTGGTTTATTGGAGATAAGAATCTCACAGATTTTCCTGCCCGGGCTGGCTTTGAACCGATCCTCAGATCTCAGCCTCCTGAGTAGCTAGGATTACAGGCGTGAGCCACAGTACCCGACTTCCAGGCTTTCTTTACCCAGCAGCCAGAGAACTTTCTAAAGTGTGAATCTGATCATCTCATTCTGGCTGGGAACATTTGACTACTCCACCAGGCCTCTATCACTGGTCCCATCTCTCATCTCCAGCCATTCATGAAGGTTTATCTGACACTTCTATGACAACTTGGTTCATGTTCTTCTCCTGAGCAAGGCCTTCCCAGTCTTATTTCATTGTGAGGTTCTCACTCACCCCTCTGGGGCTTTGCTCAAAGATCATGTTCTTCAGGAAGCTTTCTCTGACTCTTAGGCTAGGATGGACCTCTTCTTCCTGCTTCCCAAAGCATTCCAAACATGTCCTTAAAATACTGTGTTCAAGCCAGGCTCTGGTGGCTCATACCAGTGATCCTAGCTGCTCAGGAGGCTGAGATCCTGGGGCAAGAGACTAAATATTTTAGTAACAAGGTTCAAAATATTTCAGTATCAAGGTTCAAAGCCAGCTTGGGCAGGAAAATCCATGAGATGCTTATCTCCAATGAAACATCAAAAAGCCAAAAGCAAATCTGTGGCTCAAGTGGTAAAATGTCAGCCTTGAGCAGAAAAAGCTAAAGGATAATGTCTATAGTTCAAGTCCCAATATCAACACCAAACAAAAACAAAAACAAAAAAACATCTGTTTTCAAAAGTACAAGTTTATTATCTTTACCCCCTTTAAGTTGTAAATTCAGCTCATTTCCACTGAGGAGAATGTTCTTGGGCAGACAGAGCTTGAATGCTCAGACATGGTGATGGTAACGAGGACATGGTTGTTCCTCTAATACAGAACTAAGGAGGTTGCACAGATAGACAAGAAAACCACAGAAGACCCCGAGATGCTTTGCGTCAGAGCTACTGATGGATGCCCTGAAGTGAAACATCTCTGAACTCCCAAGTCAGGCATGAGAAGGAAAAGCCAGACGGTGACTCCAGTAACCACAACTCCAGACTGCAATTCAGATGGAGAACTAGCACCCCCTTCTCTAACCACCTGGCTCTTCACTAAGACACTAGACTCCACCACACAGCGAAGAAAGCCCAGTCTACTGACACATCTCATGCCCAGGGCTACCCTGGAGCTGCTCCTTCCAAAAGTCACTCACCCTGATGCTGAGAAATGGGGATACAATGAGGAGAGAGATCAGGAGATCCATATCCAAGGTGAAGAGAGGGTTTGGAGAGCAGCAGCCAGACATAGAAGTTATAGCTCCAAGGACACAGAGATAGGGTGAGCTGGGTTTTCTTTTCCAGGGGCAAGAGACTAAGTATTTTAGTAACAATGGTCTTATATTTCCTGTCTCCTCTCTTCCCCAATTCAATTCCTTCTTGGCCAGCTTCTATTAGGTTGACACGCTGGAAATGATTCTAGTCCCTTAGTACTCAGGAGCTAACAGAGAGGGATTTTC